GGGGCGGCGGCCAGAGGCACCGGGGGGCCGAGCCCGGGCGCGGGGCGGCGGAGCCTCGGGGCTGCGCTCGCCGGGAACAAAAGGCTCCTGCTGCCCGCGCAGCGCGCCGCGGCCCGGGCTCCGCGGCACCATGTCCGGCTGCGAGCCCCGCCGCGCCCGGGCGCTGCTGCTGCTGCTCGCCCTCTGCAGCCTGAGCGCTGCCCAGCCCCGCCAGCGCCAGTAAGTACCGGGGACCCGGCGGCAGCATCCCTGCTCGGGGGGAGAAGCGGCTCTGCCCGGCGGGGGCTTCAGCGGGCGCGGAACAAAGCGCGGGGAGAGAGGGGCGGCGGGCGGAGCGCCCGTGCGGTACCTGCCTCCAGCCCCGCCGCAGCGCAGCTCTCCTCGGCCAGCAGTTGTTTAAGGAATCCGCCCGCCGCGGTGCTGGGGGTGCTTGAAGGTAGCGCTGGGCGCTCCTGAGCAGCGTGTGAAGATTTTTTTAATTTTTTTTTTTTTTGGGGGGAAAGATCAGCCGAGGAGAAAGTCGGAGAAGTTTCCCCGCACTGTTAGGAGCTGAATCCGCAGCTCTTTTCCAGCGTGTTTAGGTTAATTTTGGTTAAGGTTTGCTTTGTTCTTTATCCCTGGCTTATTATAGCCCGACAGCATCGTGAATAGCTGCATTAGCTGAGTGCCATGCAGAACTTATTCTCACTTGCTTGCTAGAAAATATTTCCCATCCTGCCAAGTTTTGGTGTAACCTGACGGAGTGTTAGTTAAGTGTGCTTAAAGGATCTGTCCAGTCCCTGTCAAGTTAACTCTTTGATTGCCAAATTCAATAGTTAATTTTCAAATGCCACTTATTAAGTGATTTGAATAGTTGTATCAAGGGACTGATAATTCAGAAAGAGTTTCAGCAGTTCGGAACAATGTGAGTACATGTGCTTCACATATGGCACTGCAGTGCTGGGCTTGTGACAGTTTAAATCTGACCATTTCATCCTGAATGCAGCTGGTACTCTTTCTCCCTCTGCAGCTAAATCAGCTATCTCTCTTACCAAGGATTTGCAGGCTCAATAGTAACTTTTTATTGTTATTTATTGCCATTCTGATGAATTTTCAAACCTGGCAGCCATAAGGTTTTGCATCTGCAAGTACCCCGTGCAATTTAACTCAAATGCCACAGAGTTCTGAACTTCCTTTGGGGGTAATGGGATCTCCATGGCAATGAGGCCTGCTGAGAGAGGAACATGGGCTTGGAATTTGATAAAAGATTACTTGGGGGCTGTAAAGCACCATCATCCTCATCCCAAAGTGATAATTAATCATGAGCTAAAGCAACCTGACTCATGGGACTGTAGAAAGGCACGGGCTGAGAAATTTGGCTTGAAGAGGCATCTGAGGAATTGCCTAGCGTTTAAAAAAAATCCTTTTGGGTAGGGAAAAACCCCAGAAAGGTGTGTCATGAAGAGAATATAAATGTGTTGCTTCCAGCCCAGTGCATCAAAGAGCTCAGAGCCTGCAATGCTTTTAGCTGACAAGTTCATGGCACGGTGCCATTCAGAGAGGAGTGGTGCAGATTCCATTCAGAAACTCTCACATTGCAGCATCTATGGGAGGTCGTTTTGGGTGGCTTTAAAGCTCTCTGTGTGCCTCCTAAAATAATGCCTTTTGTAAACTTGCAGGATCTAATTGTTTGAACAAGAATGTGGTAGTAGAGCTGGAATTTGAGCTCAGTTTTGTAGCTGCAGTTTCTGGGCTGCTTCTGTATGAACTGCAAGGTCAGGTGTGTTACATGCCTTGAGCCTGACATTTAGAAAGCTCCAAAAATCACCTCTGAGTCCCTTCACTTCTCCTATGTGAAGCTGAGCTATGAAAATGGAGCCATATGATTGAGTTAAAAATATCAAAATTGTTTCAAAGAAAGCATTGGCTATGAAGCTCTATGAGAGGTTCAGGTACCTCCTTACTCCTTCATGAACTTTAACTCTTTTATGATTAACTGGTTGGACATTTAGTTTGTTACATATAATAGATAAATGAATGGGGTTTCATTCATTTATTACTTGAATATTAATTTATTCACTTTAATATGAATGTATTATTATAGATGCAATAAACATGGATATATTACTGGTTTTATTTAAATCCTAAGGATTTGCAAGCCTCTTAAGCTCTGTTTGTTCATTTATACAATTAGATACAGGCTTAGATAATTATCCATTAGATTGTATTTGTACATTAGATACAGGCTTAGACTGCTGGTGACAACAAATGTGACCCTACAGGGGCAAACACATCACAGAGTATTTGTTCTTTTCCTTTTGCTACACAAGAAGTGTCTCACAGGTGAAGGTGACACTCTTGTGGCTGTGTCTTGACTGACCACTTCCAATTGTGCTCCTCAGGGGTTATTTGATTGCAGCACCTTCTGTTTTCCGCTCTGGGGTGGAGGAAGCCATAAGTGTGACCATCTTCAACTCTGTGAAGGAGACCACGGTGCAGATCCAGCTGGTGGTGAAAGGAGAGACGGTGTCACGGAGCCACGGAACGGTCCTGGGTGAGCTCTGAGCTTGACTGATGGGCTGGGGTGCTCTGGGAGCACCTTGGTATCTCCTAAAGAATTGCTTTAGGTGATAATGGAATCAAACTAATTGATGCTGCTCCACCTTCTCAGTTGATTGTGCTAATGTGGTTTTGATCTCAAACTCTTGGATGACTTTGGAACACCAAGACAACCAGACACCCAATATAACTGATATTACAGAGTTTTATAGTGATTCTATTTCCTTTTGATGCCTGAATATTTATCAGTGGGGAGCTACATAAGAAAAAAGATAAGTTTGTTTTAAAGAAAAATAAAAAATCTACATCATCATCATCAATTTCTTCTCTCCAAAATGAGTGCTGGGAACACAATCTCCCCATCTTCCAGACTGGGTGTTGCTGAGAGAGGTGGTAATGTTTGTATGGTTGGATAAATCTTTAAAATCCAAGCCAAATACCTCTGTCCTGTGAGTAAAAGCAATATGATCTGATAATATCCAACTTAACACTGAGTGAATTTACACTGGTGAAAGTGAAGTCCAGTAGCCCTGTGGGACCACTGTCAGTAGTGGTGGAAGCTGGAGTGTAGTCAAGGAAATCAGGCTCTTTAACACTCATGTTTTAACCCTTCTGTATGTTAAAACTGGGAGTTTTATGAAAGCCATTCCACTTCTTGGAACAGATTGTCTCTGGTTGTGTCCTCCCCTTGATGTCTTTGAAAGTGGTTGACAATTGCAAAGAAATTCAAAGGGAGTGATGCTGACAGATGTGGACAGCAAATGCTCCAGAGAACTCCTAGGTATGGCTGTGTGCAGCAATCCAAACAGGTCCATGAGTGTTTGTTTTGAGAATTGTTTAAGTCCCAAAAGAGGCCAGGTCCTTTTTAGAGCAAAACAAATCAGCAGGCACAGGCTGCTCTGTGCTGGAGCCTCAGCCTTGGGGTACTCTCCAATCACAGGGCACTCTGCAATTTAAATTGGGCAAAAGTTATCAATAAAAGTGGACCAGGTTTGTTTTGGAGAGCTCTGCTGGGTTTGACTTACCCTGCAGACTGTTTTACACAGTGCAGGAAAATGACTTCAGGTGAAACCACAACAAAGGGAGACTGCAGGAAGCAGCTCTGTGGTGTGGGGTCCTCCTTCACTCACTGAAAGATCTAAAATCTTAATGCCTTACCTTGAGAATAACTCTTGCTCTCTCTCTCTTATATTTTAGATAAAGGAACAATTAAGCTGAAGGTGAGTGTCAATTATTTAAACACGTTTTTGATTAATAGATAAGGGACTTTCCTCAGCCACACCAAGCATTGCTCTCTGGCACAAATGAATGCCACATTCTGGGGCACACACTGAGGAAGACACAGCCTTCACCAGAGGAGAAGTGGAGAGTGAAAACAACAAAGCCCAACTCATCACAGCTCACCTTTACACCACTAAGAATAATCAGTGGCTCGTGGCTCCACATAAATTTCTGTGTTGGGGTTATTTTATAGGAATGGCAGTACAGAATTCTGTGTGGGGGTTATGACTTCAAATGTGGGCAAAATGGAGCTGGACTGGAAGAACAAGTCCTTAAAAGTGTTGGGTTTTTTAACTTAGGACTTAATTTGGGACATTAAAGGGGGGTGGTGGAACAAAATATTCCATTGTGATCTGCATCTGGAATGGTATCAGATTTTTTACTTTGCCAGTTTTATTCTGAAGTAATTTTTAAAGTACTTATTTCTCTGAGCAGCTGGTTGAACATGTTCATGCATGCACTTTTTGTTTTGGGAACTTTTTGGTGCTGCTCATTGGGGTTTTTCCCTCTGTGGCAGAGCTGTGGGTTGGTTTCCCCACGTAACACACTTCTGTACTGGGAGCTGCACGTGTAGATCATGGATCAACCATCACTCTGCATGAGTGATAAAGGGCAGAAGAGAATTTCCTGCCATGTTTTCAGCATGAATTTGCCTCCTTTGAAGTTTATATATTGTAGAAAACCTAGTATGTCCTTAATTTTCCTTTCACTACTAACACAGGTTTACAACAAAATGCAGCAGGTGCCTCTTCTTGCTCTCTTCAATGTCAATTACATTCCCCAAAAGCTCAGAGGTTTTCCTGTGTTCCTCACCTCCTGGTGTGTTTTAGGTGCCTTCAGGGCTTCGTGGACAAGCACACCTGAAGGTTTGGGGCAACAGGCACCTGGCAGAGGAAGGGTACATTTTCCACAACTACACCACGGTCACCATCGACAGCAAGGGCTCCTCAGTGTTCATCCAGACTGACAAACCTGTCTACAAACCCAAGCAGAAAGGTAAAGTCATCTTGGACAATTTGCCAGATGCTAGGGCTGCTTTCAAGGGGAGTTTTAGGATGAGCTCTTCTGTTCAGTCTCAGCTCTGGTGACTGATAAATTCCCTTTTTTTCCTTTTTTAGTGTTGATAAATCTCTTCATGGTGACTTCTGACCTGAGGCCAGTCAATGACAGGGTAAAGAAAACTGTTATTTTTCACACTGTGCAATATGATGGAATACTTGGTAGCCTGCATTTTATTCAAATGTACACTTAGGCAGAAGCAAAACTGGATTTTTAAGCTGTTTGGACATAGCTTGTGACAGCTTGTTTTATTTGTAATTTAGCTTTTTTCACTTGGTCATATTCCTATTGGAGGAGAATACAAACATTTGGAGTGCTGGCAAATAGGAGGCAGCTCTGCCAGATCAGAGACAAGAATTTTTCAGAGACTTGCACCTTATTTAGGTGATACAGATATGTAAATTATCACTTTTCCAGATAGATCTCTGAATTAAATGTGTGTTTCTCAGGCTACTCTTAGCAAAGATGTTCAAACTCTGTCACTTTGGGTCTCACACTTTGCTTATGTTGACTCAACACTTAATCATAAAAAGTAGAAAAGTTGTTTCATAAAGCCTTTTCTTTTTCTTTTTTTCTTTCAGATTGAAGCTTATGTGGTGGTGAGTATCTGTGTGCCCATCTAGCACGTGTCCTGTAGAGGTACGAGGTTTGTGTAGCATTTAAAGGAACAAATCTGTGATTTTTCTGTTCATTATGGCCATTCCCACCCCTAACCAATGCAATTTTCTATCCCTGTGTCTCTATCTGATCTCTGTGCCTTGTTTTTTGCTATCACCAGCAAATATCCTTGTTTTCTACTTCAGTTTCAGAAATTCATTCCCATTTTTCAGCCTGAGAAGAATTGGCTTGATTCACTGGGATTTATAACTGTCAGATAGATCTCTGAATTAAATGTGTGTTTCTCAGGCTACTCTTAGCAAACATGTTCAAACTCTGTCACTTTGGGTCTCACACTTTGCTTATGTTGACTCAACACTTAATCATAAAAAGTAGAAAAGTTGTTTCATAAAGCCTTTTCTTTTTCTTTTTTTCTTTCAGATTGAAGCTTATGTGGTGGTGAGTATCTGTGTGCCCATCTAGCACGTGTCCTGTAGAGGTACGAGGTTTGTGTAGCATTTAAAGGAACAAATCTGTGATTTTTCTGTTCATTATGGCCATTCCCACCCCTAACCAATGCAATTTTCTATCCCTGTGTCTCTATCTGATCTCTGTGCTTTGTTTATTTTGCTATCACCAGCAAATATCCTGGTTTTCTACTTCAGTTTCAGAAATTCATTCCCATTTTTCAGCCTGAGAAGAATTGGCTTGATTCACTGGGATTTATAACTGTGACAGCCTCATTTCCTCTCCCTCTTTTCAATGCCCCCCACTCCAATCCTCATGTGCTGGGCTGGCAGAGCAGGGCCATCCTCAACCCTGCACCAAAACAGGGATAGTGGAGAGTAGAAATTCATGGAAAGGAAAGGGTTCTCCTGTCTTCTTCCTTATGAGGTGAATGAGAGGTTCCCTCTGTGCTTAGAGGGTTTTTGGGTTGTTGTTTTGGTTTGTTGTTTTTTTTTGGTTGGTTTGTTTGTTTATTTGCTTTTGTTTTTTGGTTGGTTGGTTTTGGGGTGTTTTTGGGGGTTTTTGTTTTGTTTGTTTTTTTTTTTTTTGGTTGGTTTGTTTGTTTAATTGCTTTTGTTTTTTGGTTGGTTGGTTTTGGGGTGTTTTTGGGGGTTTTTGTTTTGTTTGTTTTTTTTTTTTTTGGTTGGTTTGTTTGTTTAATTGCTTTTGTTTTTTGGTTGGTTGGTTTTGGGGTGTTTTTGGGGGTTTTTGTTTTGTTTATTTGTTTTTTGTTTTGGTTTTTTTTGGTTTTTGTTTTTAGGTTTTTTCGGGGGTTTTTTTGGGGTTTTTTTTGTTTTGTTTGTTTTTTGGGGTTTTTTTTGGGGGGTGTTATTTTTGTTGCTTTTTAAATATGTTTACCTGTCAGAAAGCAGAAGTATTGACTCTTGTTGAGGACTTAATGCTGACAAAACCAGCAGGATTCATTTCACCTGTGTTTTTTTCATCCAGAATTTGTCTTTCTGCTTGTACAGCTCCCTTTAGAATGAGGTCAGTTCATCCCATCCAGGGCTGGTGTCTTAAGGCAGGGGAAAGATCTGCTTAACATCATTTACTTGTATGCATTGCTTATAGGAGCAGAGCTCTTAAATAACTCCAGAAAACAAATACCCCTGATGTAAGGGTATTTCTGGGACATTTTTGACAGATATTGGTTACATTTGAGCTGTCAGTGAGGTGTGTATTACAAAAGGAAGTTCTTTGGTGCAAACTGAGTTAAATGCATGAGTGATCCTCATTTTCTCACCCCTAAACTTCCCTGCAGGATCCTCGGGGCTCTCGCATGATAGAATGGAAGAACTTGAAGCCATTTTGTTGTGGTAAATTCCAGATTATTTATTTTTTTCCTCTGTGTACTGCGATTTGCCTTTGCTTCTGCTTCCACTGAGTCTGTTCAGTAAGGCTTGGCAGGGGCTGGAGAGTGCCACAGTTCACAGAGTGTTGTTTCCCTTTCCAGGCATTGTCAATATGACTTTTCCCCTGTCTGATCAGCCAGTGTTTGGGGAATGGCTCATCTTTGCTGAGATGCAGGGGCACACTTACAACAAATCCTTTGAGGTGCAGAAATATGGTGAGTTGACCTTAACCTGGCTGCATTTGGAGGAGCAGAACACTGTGAAACACTTTCACTTGAGATTAAACACCTGAAACACTGCATTTAAAATGCCATGAGGAAAAAATTCCTTAGACCCCTGTATTTCAGGGATGCAGGCACTGCTAACTGGGAGCTTTGCTGAGGTCACCTTGCCAAGGTGGTTTTGGTTTGTTGCTGTTGTTGATTGTCCTATGGAATTTGATCAGCCCTGCAGGGACACTCAGTGGCCATGGACAGAAGATAATTCATAGTTAATGAACAGAAGAGATCTCCTGGAGGGAGGATTGGGTGTGGAATAGATAAAGAAAACTCCCAATTAACAGAGATAACTGCCCCACCTCTAACAGATGGTGAATAGAATACACAGCCCCATTTCCAACCTAAGACATTGATTGACCCTCTACTGGGTGTTACCCTGATAAATCAGAACCAGCTCCTGTCAGAGCTGTGGGGATTTGCTCTAAGCTGGGCAATGAGATCTGCTTGGAAAGATTCTGCTTTATTTCTTTTCACTGTAGTGTTGCCAAAGTTTGAGCTGCTGATCGATCCCCCTCGCTACATCCGTGACCTGTCACTGTGTGAAAAAGGAACTGTCCATGCCAGGTAGGAACAGGTCCCAAACCAAGTTTCATTGCTGTGGGTTGTAGTGCAGTCACTGGAGCTTGGATCTCACCTGCTGCAGACTTTTCAGATGATTTCTTATCATCATCAGAAGCTTTCTGATGTAAGAGCCTTCAAAAACATGGTAAAAATAACAATCTGGAAAACTTCCTGTGGTAATGTTTTCTAGATGTGCAGGTAACATGGGAATTGTCTTTATACAGCCAGAAGAACAGAAACCAGCTGGAAGTTACTAATCATCTCCTTTGATTTCAGATACACATTTGGCAAACCAGTGACAGGGAAGCTAATTGTCAATATGACTATAAATGGTGTTGGGTACTACAGACATGAAGTGGGACACCCTGTCCTCAAGACCACCCAGGTGAGGGAGACCATGGACTCACCTGTGATGAAATGCCTGATCTGTCTTCTTTAACATTTATCCCACAGCTCTGCTTTGTTGCTGATGGGAGATCAGAAAATGGAGTGAATATTATAACTGGGGCCAGTGCTTATTTTTACATGGTATACTTATGATTTTGGATATTAGGAGGAGGCTCTTTTCCCAGAGGGTGCTGGCACTGCCCAGGCTCCCCAGGGAATGCCCCCAAGGCTGCCAGAACTCCAGGAGCTCTCAGGGATGCTCAGGGTGGGGTTGTTGGGATGTCTGTGCAGGGCCAGGGGCTGCACTGCTGATCCTTGTGGGTCCCTTCCAGCTCGGGATATTCTGGGATTTGGTGGGATAAGAATTTTTTGGCATAGTTTTAATCTCTTTGGAGAGCATATGGGGCTGAGGAGAGCAGGAGCCTGAGGTGACAGAGTTAGTCCAGAGCATGGATAAGGGAGGAAAACGAAACTCCTGCTCCTTTTCCCCCCCTTCCTTCCCCCTTCCATCCTAACCCTTCCAAACACTGCTGCAAGCCCCCACCAGGTGCCTGTGCTTTAGAGCAGTTTCCTGTGCCCTGTGTGGGTGTGCCAAGCCCTCCCTCTGTGTGCCCCACCCCAGATCGACGGCTCTGCCGCCTTCGAGGTGTGTGTCAGGGACATGATGCCAGCAGATGTCCCCGAGCACTTCCGAGGCACAGTCAACATCTGGGCCACGGTGATCAGCTCTGATGGCAGCAAGCAGGTGACCTTTGATGACTCCACACCTGTCCAGAAACAGCTGATTGATATCAAGTACTCCAAGGACACCAGGAAACAGTTCAAACCTGGGCTGCCCTACAAGGGAAAGGTGAGATTAAAAATAATCCTATTTTTAATGGTGTTGGGTGCTAATACGGCTGATTTAAGGAAATTATTGTTTAAGGAAAACAATAATTATCTCATTTGCTTCTCCTGTGTTTTGCTGCTGTGGAATGTGGCTTGGAGATTGTTTATCCAACAGGTGGTTTCATGTGAATTGTGGGGGTCACACTTTGGGGTGTTGAGGGGTCCTGGTGTGGGGTTTGGGGTCTCAGAGTGGGGTTTTGTACTGACTTGACCCCAGCAATTTTCCCCACCTGGAATTGCTGATAATTTGAAGCTGATTGTTCTATAAATGCCCCACTGTGCAGGTAGAGGTCACTTACCCCGATGGGAGTCCAGCTGACAGAGTCACCATCCGAATTAAAGCTGAGCTCACACCAAAGGACAATGTTTACACAAGTGAACTGGTCTCAAGGAATGGCCTGGTGGAGTTTGAAATCCCCTCCATCCCCACAGCTGCCCAATATGTCTGGCTGGAGGTGGGTAAAAGCTCCTTACAGGATTAGCAGGCTTTCATGTAACTAATCTTGTCAAACCTGCACTGTATAAATCAGTGCTACAAACAGGAAATCAGTGCCTTTTAGCTTCAGCTTCTGAATTCAACACAGCAAACACTGACTTGTTTCTTGCTGCCAAGAGAACTGATGTTGATAACCACCATGAAAGGATGCTCCTCCAAATGCACCTTAAATGGTAGCAGGGGTCTAGTATTTGGGGAGTAAAGATGTCAAGAGATGAAAGGTGAAAGGTGTAAAATGGGAGAGGAGAGTAGAGATTAAGAAATATCAATGTTATGCATAGAAAGCTTTTTTGTTCTAACTTTTTTTTGTTTGTTTTTTGTAAGACCAAAGTGATAGCAATTGATGGGAAGCCCTCTGGGGATCAGTATCTGCCCAACTACTTGTCCATCAGCAGCTGGTACTCACCCAGCAAGTGCCACATCCAGCTCCAGGCACCAGATAAACCTTTCCAGGTATGTTGGCTTCACCTTCCAGCATGGAAATGAAATGAAATCCACTGCATTGCTTGGCTTAAAGTACTTTGTTCTAATTAAATATTTCTGGACATTGCTGGTTCTGGGATCTTGAGCCGTTTCCACCACAAAGGATGGAGGAGCTGCACTGGAGCCACCAAATAATTGTTGAATGTGGCTGCACAAGGTGCTAAGCACAACTCCCTGGGTGCTCTGTGCAGCACCTCAAATCCAACCCTTTCTGTTCAGAGGGAGCTGGGTGTAGGCATGGAAAACTTTGGTATTTCACATTTGAATGTGTGCTCTGTGCCTCCAGTAATGCTCAGACATGGATTGCTTGCTGAAAATGATTGGAAGTGATGTTAGTGGGAGTGGCTGAATTACTAAAGACCAGAATTAAGGCTGTGTAGTCTCACTGGAACTTCCAGTTTAAATCTCAGCTGGATCTGTTCAATCTTCCAGTTATTGAGCTCTGAACATGATTGTCTTGTTTTCTTTGGTAGGTTTTGTAGGAGCCTCTCTAAAAATGTAGTCCTGCCTTATAAAAGTTGTTGTCATTTCTGTCCTAGAGAAAATATCTGATTTAACCATGGTTCCTGTTGCATAATGTTTTCTGAGAGTTGTTCAGGGTTTCTTCTTATCCAAGAAAATGTTCTGAAGGTCTGCATATTGCTCTGTGGAAAAAAAAAAGTGGGTTTTGGCCACAAACACAGTGAGACTTATTATCAGCAGGTCTGTCAGGTTGGTTTCAGATTCTTTGTATCCAAATAAGAGCTTTTTTTTTATCATTGCATTTCATGAAAGTTTAATGGCTAATTAATCTTTTACAAGTTTCCTGAGGTATGGAAAGGGGATTATACACTGCTAATCTGAACACATTGTTCTTATTATAACCTGATTAGAACTAATTCTTCTGTGGGAAAGCTTGGAGCTGGATGACCAGCTGATGTGGGAACTATTCCCGTGTATTGCCAGCTCTTACTGGGTGTTCCAATTAGCTACATTCATTTTTTAATGAATTGTTTCATCATTTGCACTGGGGAATTCTTAATACTTCAAATATTTGGTGTCACGAGGCACCTCTTGGACTCTGTGGCATTCTCACTGTGTTTGACCATCAGCAGCTCCTTGTGCTCCAGCTCTGCCCTTTTGGTTGGTGCCATGTGTGCATTCTGCAGGGAGGGCACTTGGAGCTGAAAAAAGAGAGGTTTTTCAGAACAATTCTTTGGGATTTTCTGAATGGTTTTATTTGGGAACTCCTCTGCTTTAAATGGCAGGAGGGTGAGGAGGGGAAGGTGCTGAAGAAATCCAACTGACCACAAGTGTCAGGTGCTCCTCAGAGCCCAGAAGGAAGGAGTTTGTGTTCCTAGGAAAGCCTGCTGCTCCTCAGGGTCATTAATCCCATGGCTGATGTCTGTTCTGTTGGGAATTTGGGGGGTTTTGTTTTGGGGCTGTTCAGTGCTCACTGAGCCCCTCTGGGTGCAGAGTTTCAGTGCCCAGGTGTGCTGCCCTGGAGCCTATTGCAGGCATCAGATGAGTTACCCAGACAAAAATAAAGCAGATTTCTTCTCATTTATTTGTGGGTTTGACACCTTCCTGAGTGCCCAACTTACAAATTGTTATCAAGATTTTGTGTAATTTGACAGCATTTTCCCTCAGATCTCTTCCCAGTCATTTCATGGTGATGTTTGAATTTGTATTTGCCACATGGATGTAATCACAATTAAACTGCAAAGACTATCAAACACACATCTCTTCCCACCCCCAACCCAACTCTTTCCTTTTTTGGGCTGGGCTACTGAGGGGGTTTCTAAAATTCAACCAATTCTGACAGCTGCTCTGTGCCAAAAGGCTTAACTTCCAGGATTCCAGAGATTCCTTCATTGTTCCATTAATGCATACAACCCCCAGCTCATTCTCCTGTAGATTTGCAGCGAGTGGAGAGCTGAACACAGCCCCCTTTTTAGTGTGTAAAAAGTCCCTGAGAACAGTGCTAATGTAATAATAAATGCACTTTTCAATGCAGCTATTTGTTAGGAGAGGGCTCACACCTCCTGTGGCCTGGAACCCAAGCAGGTTCCTGTGCTTTGCCACCAAAAAGCTCCTAACAGAGCAAACCTTTGGCTTTTCTGTCCCTGCCTGCAGGTGGGAGAGGAGGCCTGGATTGCAGTGAAATCCACCTGTCCTTGCAACTTCACTCTCCACTATGAGGTGGCATCACGAGGGAACATTGTCCTGTCGGGGCTGCAGCCCAGCAATGTCACCCAGCAGAGGAGCAAGAGAGCCACCAGCCCCTTGGAGAGGAACATTGACCTCACACGCTTCCCAGAAACAGGTAGCCAGCACCAGAAATGCAGCTCGCCCCTATTTTCAGTGAAAAACAACCTTTCCACACCCTTTTTGTGAATGTGGTGCTCCTTAAAGAATATAGGTAATTTTGTGCAAGAAAAGTAGTGAAATCCATTGCCCTCAGGCATGTAAAAAAGTTCTCTGAGAGGAGTAACCCTTGGAAAGTTTTCTTTGGTCTTTCTGAAGTCTTTCTCAGATGAAGAAACTCTAATATTTGCTTGGAGTGGAGTGGCAGGGAGTGTAGGGCAGGGCTGGGGCAGCTGGTGAAATTGGTTGAGCTTAAACTGAGGAGGGGATGTTAGATGGGAAGAGAAAATGAAATGGACTGATCAAGGAGATCACACAGCCCACAGGGGCAAGGGGAATGAAATGGGGACTCCTGGTCTGTACAAGGAGTAACAGGAAGACACAAATTTGGTGGATTTGGGGAGCAGGGGGGTGAAAAATTTTGGGGTTGGAAAGATGGAAAAGTCTGACTGTCCTGGTAACCACAGTAGGAGCTGGGAAAAGAGTAACAGGAACCTCACTCCAAGCTTCTGGCAGTCAGTCATGTAGGATTTGTGATGATTTTCTGCACTGAAGGTTTGTTCTGAGCTGTTGCATTCATGTTTGCTCAGAGGCTTTGTGGCTGCTCTGGCATTGGGAGAGTTCAAGGCCAGGTTCTGTGGGGCTTTGGGCAGCCTGGTCTGGTGAAAGACATCCTTGTCCACAGAAGTAGAGGATCTTTAAAGGTCCCTTCAACCTAAACCATTCTGTGATTCTGTTTAACAGCTCCTGTGATTCTCTGTTCTATAAACTGCATAATCCTTTTTCAAGCTTATTCCTTTTCTGTCATCAGCTTTCTCCAGTAATAGATAACATTTTCTGTTTATTTTCAATGGCTTGATAATTTAACTGTGTGTTTCCTTGATTTCATGGCTGGAAAACCACAGAGTAATCCTTCCCTACCCTTCTCCATCCTGCTCATTAAATTATGAGTGCTAATTACCTTTCACAATGAGGAAGAAAAAGGAAATATTCAGAACTCAAGAAGGTGTGCAGCAGGAACAAGGGAAGAATGCAAGTCCTGAATGGAGAGTTCTGTGCCTGTCAGCATGAGGAGGGGGCAGGAAGGGAGTGACTGGGATAAACACAGCTATTTTTTTCTCCACAATTCCTGTTTCAGCACCTCCCAGCACTCCTGCAGCAGAGGTTGAGGTGTGTGTGACCTTCCTGAGGTTCTCAGTCGTTCACTCCATGGCTCCCCTGGGCCGGCTCCTGGTGTACTACGTCAGGGAGAACGGAGAGGGGGTCACAGACAGCCTGCAGTTCACTGTCACCTCCTCCTTTGAGAACCAGGTAGTGGAGAGGGAGGGCTGCTGTCTCACTGCTCTTTGGTTTTTGGGATAATCATGACATTTAATGGGATTTCCCTTCCCAGGTTAGCGTGGCGCTCTCAGCCAACGAGACCAGGCCTGGTGATGTTGTGAACATCAAGGTCAGAGCTGCAAAAGGAAGCTGTGTCTGCATGGCCACGGTGGACAAGAGTGTCTACCTGCTCAAGACAGGCTTCCAGCTGACAGCCAGCCAGGTAGAGCGAGCTGCAGGCACTGATGTCCTCTCCTGAGCCCTGTGCTCCTCACCCAAGGAGAGCAGCCTGTGCCCTTTCCCTGCAGGTGTTCCAGGAGCTTGCAGAGTATGACGTGTCTGATGCTTTTGGAGCTCCAAAGGAAGAAGGGCACTTCTGGTGGCCTGGCATGTCCTCCCGCCGGCGCCGCAGGTCCTCTGTGTTCCCCTGGCACTGGGACATCACCAAGGACGCTCGCTTCGCCTTCACAGTAGGGAGAGCCAGCCTCTTTCCTCTTGTGCTTCGTGTTTGCAGGGGGGTTTTCAATTCCAGAGCCAGCCTCCCTTCCCTCTTGTGCTTTCATGTTTGCAGGGCATTTTCAGCTCCATAACTATCCTCCTTTCTCTCTGCAGTGTCTGTCTTGTACTTTCATGTTTGCAAGGGTGTTTTCAGCCGGGACATCACCAAGGACGCTCGCTTCGCCTTCACAGTAGGGAGAGCCAGCCTCTTTCCTCTTGTGCTTCGTGTTTGCAGGGGGGTTTTCAATTCCAGAGCCAGCCTTCCTTCCCTCTTTTGTGCTTTCATGTTTGCAGGGGGGGTTTCAGCTCCAGAAGCAGCTTCCCTTCTCTCTGCAGAGTTTCTCTTGTGTGCTTTCATGTTTGTATGATTATTTTCATCTCCATGACCAGCCTCCCTTCTCTCTGCAGAGTCTCCTCCCTGCTTTCATGTTTGCAGGGGGGTTTTCAGCTCCATAACCATCCTCCTTTCTGTCTTCTGTGCTTTCATGTTTGTAGGGTTATTTTCAGCCCCATAACCAGCCTCCCTTCTCTCTTTTCTGCTTTTGTGTTTGCAGGAGGGTTTTCACCTCCAGAACCAGCCTCCCTTCTCTCTGCAGAGTCTCCCTTTTGTGCTTTCATGTTTGTAGGGTTATTTTCAGCCCCATAACCAGCCTCCTTTCTCTCTGCAGTGTCTCTCTTGTGCTTTCATGTTTGCAGGGGCATTTTCAGCCCCAGAACCAGCCTTCCTTCCCTCTGCAGAGTTTCTCTTGTGTGCTTTCATTATTTGTAGGATTATTTTCAGCCCCATAACCAGCCTCCCTTCCCTCTGCAGAGTCTCCTCCCTGCTTTCATGTTTGCAGGGGCATTTTCAGCCCCACAGGCCAGGGGTTTCCCCCACATCAGAGCTGGGTAGGATGAAAAGTGATTTTTGAGAACAGATGACACTGTTCTGGAAAAGATATCTGAGAAACATGGCTTGATTTTGGCCAATCCAGTCTTGGGAGGGGCAGCTGTCCTGCTGGGTGAAGGAATTCATGCTGATGCTCTGGAGAACCAGAAAGGGACCAGGAGGTTCCTCCAGATCTCTTCTGCAGCTACTGCAACAGGGAGGGAAGGCAGAATGTGAATCTTTCCTTGTAGCCTTTTGGACTTTGCAAAGGAAATAATTTCAGCTTCTTTCCTGCCCTGGTTCTCCCATCTTCTGTTGCCATCTGCATGAAAAACCTTCATGTCCTTGATCAGGTTACTCCCTAAATGCTATATATTTATAGTTAATTGGTGTGTTCCCATAGTTAAACCTGGCCAGATTGTAAAAATGTGATTTCCTTTGATCTGTGCCGTGCATTTGAATCAAATTGAAAGCTGAGCATTCAAAAAAAGTTGGGCTTTTTAAACGTACTCATGCACTAATTCATTTTTTTCATTGCTTTGCATACCAACAGTGTAACCTTTTAAGCTGAAAACCAGTAATTTGTAGCTCTTGAGAAAAAACTGCTATTTCCATGAGCTTTTTGCTTTGCTTTTGTTTAAAATGGGTGTTCCCTCGTCTATTTGAGAAGTTCACCCTTTCAGGCTCTGCTCCCATCCCTTCTTTGCTTTCCACACCACTGCAGGGTGTAACCCCTGCTCCCTGAGACAAGGAGAAGGCTGAGCTGTAAATGTTTGATATTCTTTACATCATCTTCTCCTTTTTGTGCCTCTGAAATGCAGACTGGCCTGGTGAACCAGTGCCACAGCTCAGATCCTTGTTCTTTCCCTTTTTAATCCACATAACTGCTGAAAATGATGATCCTTGCTTCCTACAGATCCATATTTTCATTCTTTGGCCTTCCTCTGGTTTCAGCTAAATTGTTTTATTCTGTTGTCTGAAACCCCAGAGACTTTCACACATTCCCCCAGTTCCTCAATCTCTTAATTACAAACTCTAAATCCTCATTTTTTGCCCACTGCTTCTTCCCCCCCTGGGGTCTGAGGGTTTTTTTTTTCTCTGATGCAGCTTTTTTTGTCCTTATTGAGAACTGCAAACTCTTGGGAAAAAGGTCATTTTTGGGGAGCTGGTGTGAATGCAGGGGCTGCACACCTGGTGGGCAAGAACTGGGGGTGTGTGCAGGGAGCAAAGCTCATCCTGCAGAGCTGCTGGGAGCTGCTGTCTCTCATGAATAACAGCATTTGGGGGACAGAGCTGGGAGCTTTCCCTGTGTGGACGTTTTTCATTTTGCTTGGCATCCCTGGCAGTGCAGAACTGATGTCTGATGAGAGAGCTGCCTGCTCACTGCAGCACAGCACACTGGAAACTTTCAGGAAGGGTAAAAAGCTGTGATGCTGTGCTCTAGGGGAAAAAATAAGTTTGTTTTTTTTTTACCTGTCCCACTTGCCCAGTAATGTTAGATACTGATTTAAATACAGACAAGAGCTTTCTTATAAAGCCTCTGCTTATGCACCTTCATATTAACAGTCATTTTTACACAAAGCTTTAAAAAATCCTCAAGATGCAATTGAAATTTCCCTGGTAAATGTTGAAATAAGATTGAGTGGATTCTATTTTTTTAAAAATCAGTTAATTAATCACATTTAATTATTTTTCTTTAATTATTTTTATTTCTTTTTTTCCTTGCTGGTTTTTGTTTTGTGGTGTTGATTTTTCATTGTCTAGGAAACTGGCTTGGTGGTGATGACTGACATAGTCAGCCTGAACCACAGGCAGAATGGAGGGATGTACACAGATGAGGCTGTCCCAGCCTTCCAGCCACACACTGGCACCTTGGTGGCCACCATGCATTCCAAAATAGCACCAAGGTAACATTTGGGGTTTAATATCTATTGTTTGTGATACTCCTGGCTGGTTTTTTTCTCTATTCTCAGCTTTTTCCACCTTCATGCCCCAGGTTTGGACAAGGCAGTGTTGGGGAAATTCTTCCAATGCCTTGGTAGATGTAAAAAAAAAACAACAAAAAAAAAACCACCAAAAAACAAACAAACAAACAAAAAAAAAGAAACAAAAAAAAACAAAAAAAACCCCCCAAACTGACACTGCTTTGTTAAATTTAATTTAATTCTGGAAAAGTGACACATGCAAAGAGTGCTAAATTACCATTTTGAAGAATATTTCTTTGTAATTTGCTGTTAATTTCTTGGAATATTTGAGAGCTACAGCTGTTTTTGCAGAGCCACTCATTGCTCATGATTTGGACCATTCAGCTGGTGGTCAAAATCAACAGAATGAGGATCTGCATGAAGGAAGGGCTGTGAGGTACCACAGGTGATGAGGATGGGCCTCCCCTCTGCATCCTGAGCTTCCTGGGAGCCTCTCTTAGCAGAGGAACTTCTGGGCTTAGTTAAGAAATAGATGATGACGTATAACAGGTATAAAAAGCTGATTTAAATTGTTCAAATATTGGAAATCAGGACAATTCCAAGAGCAGGGATGTGATGCTGCTGCTGGAGGTCACGTGCTGCAGTTGTTCCCTTGATTCCATTTGGTGAAAGGATTTGGATCACAAACCAATTTCATTTTAGATTCCATTGTTTCTGCTGGTTGCAAAGGTTAACTTGCTTGTACTATTTTTTGGATTCTTGTTTCTGCCTGCAGAGTGGGTGTGCACACAAAGGGATTGTTTCAAAAGCAAATTTAATTTGTGTTATTCACTCCTTAATGAGTCTGCACCAGACAGAGTTTTGGTCATGTGAGCCAGAGTCAGGTGATAACTCTGATTTATCACTGACTGCTGGAAATATCTTATCAAAAGAATCCATTTGCAAGGATTTATTTCTTGTTCTAGCAGAGCAGAGAAGAGGAAAAGAACCTTCTTCCCTGAGACGTGGATTTGGCACTGCCTCAATGTCAGGTATTGGCATTAATTATATCCACAGGTTGTAAACAAAGCTCTTTAAAATCTAATGAGTTACACTGGCATTTTCTGTTTTTTAAAATTTTAATTTATTTTTTTTACTTTTCCCCCTATTGTTGCTGTTTTTCTTCATTACCACTAGAATCTTTGCACCAATTCCTCTGGTCCTGAGGTGTGTTCTCTTGCTTCAGGCTGGACCTGCCAGCTGTGCCCACATAGATTCTCTGTTAATTGCTCCTCAAATTTCACAGAGCCCTTCTTTCTCTGTCTTCTCCTGCAAGAACATCTCCCCCAGACCTCAATCTGCTGCCTCTCAAATCCTGGCTGCCTCTGGGTACAGTTGCAACTAAAAAAATAAATTATTGAAGGGATAACTAATCCATCCCACAACAGCACATCTAGAATAATTTGAAGCAATCATTAAAAAGCTTCTCCAGGTTTGCAAGTAAACTTCATCCTCAATAAATGATTGTAAATTAAATTTGACAGGAACTTGGAGCAAGTGTATTCAAATATGTTCAATTGAGCATGAAATATGCTTTGTAGAAATACACAAAGAATTCCAGAAGTGCCCGTTTGGGCCTCAGCAAGCCAGGGCAGTTAATTATAAGTAGGAGAGTGTGGAATAAAAAGTTGCAGATTGTGTTTTCTCTACTTCATTTCATTAGAAACAACTGAGTTGGAGCATTCCTTAATTTCCACTCTCTTGAACAGGAAGAATTTATTTTTTTTCTTCTACCATTTATAATTATAATATACAATCCTTAAAAAAAATTTAAAAAAAAAGAAACAAAAGCCTAATGTCAACTTCCCAAACCAATTCTGAAAATTCCTAGAGCCTGGCTGGAGGGTCTAATGGCTGGAAATGAGTGTGTACTTTGGCCCTGTGCCCAGAAGAGTAAGTGCCCTCATGTGTGAAAATAATGTTAATGCTGGTTATGGGCTGAAATCCCAGTGGAAAGAACATCAGCTGCAACAAATTGTCCGGTTAAACAGGCTGGAGGAGTGCCAGCCCCGGGGCAGGGCTGCCTCCTGCCTGCTCCCAGGGCTGAGCATCACTGCGGCTCCAGGGGCAGCGCCTCGGCGTCTGCTGAAAAGGAGGTGGCATAACTTCGAACTTTAAGCAGGTTTAGGTTGGATTTTGGGAAGAAATCTTTCTCTGAAGCCCTGGCTTGGGGTGCCCAGAGCAGCTGTGGCTGCCCCTGGATCCCTGGCAGTGCCCAAGGCCAGGCTGGGCAGGGCTGGGAGCAGCCTGGGACAGTGGGAGGTGTCCCTGCCATGGCAGGGGTGGCACTGGATGGGCTCTAAGGTCCCTTCCCACCCAAACCATTCCATGTTTCTGTGATTCAAGTGCTTTTCCCAAGGCTTTTCCCTCTGGAGTTTGAGCTGGGGGAACCACATTCACCAGCCAGTGCTTGGAGTCTGACTGAACTTATAAAAAGCACAGTGATCTCCACTTTTTGTTGTTTTACTCCTTTCCCTTTGTGATACAGACACAGAGATGAGTCCCCGATGAGCTGCCTGGCTCCTGACAGGAGCTTCAGGCTCACTGGGAATTCATTTATTGAGAGGAGCAAAGCAAAGCCAAGGTGCTTCACTGGTGCCTCAAGTGTGAGCAAACCCAAAAAGCAGTGGCAGCTCTGGGTGTGCATCAGGCACCCCATGAGGACAGCATGTCATGCTGGACACTTCTTCTGGAGACCTCCCATCCTCATCCTCCATGCCCCCAAAGCTGGCAGCATGTGTGTCAAGCTCTGGGGAATAAATAAGAACTTGTGAGGAAACAACCTTGGGGTGTGCTCACAACTGCAGCGATCATCCTGCCAGCTGAGCCATGAAATAACTTTTGTTCTTGTGTTAAAGGAAAAGTTTTCAGTTCCAGGCAGGGCCAAAGCTGCTTTTCAGGAGGGAAATAGCAAAGTCTGAAGAGCAAAACTGAATTTCTATTATTATAAAGCATGGAAGAGGTTACCAGGTTTATGATATCCCTTTGTGCTATGCACAGGAAAGCTAAGTACTCAGAGATTTGACTTTTAATAACTAATTTCAATCCTCATTGCAGGAAAATGATAGGTTTGGAAATTTTCTAATTTAGTCATTCCAAAACCAAACCAAAATGTTCCTGAATCAAAACAAGCAGTTGCTGAACTGGATGTTTAGAAAGTTTCTCATTTGTCCTTGCATTCAAGCAGAGCCTGCACTGTGGCAATGGACACAGGGACAATGAGTTCCAACAAAACCCACTTTTATTTCACTGGCTATTAAATCAATTATTGTTGAACTGGTTTTATCCAGGACTTTGGTCTGGGATTATTTCTTGTCTTTCTTTTTAGATTTTGGGGTTTGTTTCAGAGTTTTGGTGAGATTTTTTTAACTTCATGCAGACATTTGCCTCTTGAAAGTGAGGCTGAAAAGGAAGTTTTTAATCCAGGAAGAATTTGTGTTTTGCATGAGTAACTATTTGCTTTTCTGCAGCTTATAAATATTAAAAATTAAATATTTGCAGGTCTCAAAACTGGTAGAAAGCACAGAGCATTTTGTAAAGCTCAAAGCAGACAATGCTATCTGATAAATCTACATCTGGAGGGAATTCCCCAAAATGCTTGGGGGCATCATTAAAAATGTTAGGAAAATTAATGCACAAACACCAGAGGTTTATGTCCAAAAAGGAGACAGAAGAGTCCTTTGACTTTATTTGAATAAAGGGACAGGCCATGGGGCATTCCTCTAGGGTCTATCAAATTTTTGGAGGATGCACCCTCTTTTTTATCCCAATTTCCCTTCTCCCTTTCCCCATTGGCTGAGGTACTTGAGAGGTTCAGATTTCCCAGAACACCTGATACCAACGATTCCTCTCTAACGTATAACTCTCCTTTTTAACTTTTAGTTCTTATGGAATTTAGGCTTTCTTCTTCCCCATTATTTATTTCATCTTTCAATGTCTAATTTCATTCATCAGCAAACCTAAATTTTCTTTGTAAAATCAAATATCTTTTTCCATTCATCAATCAGTGCAATCCTTCCCATTTCTTTTATCTCCCAGTGCTGGTTTTATCTACAAGCAGACCCAGAGCTGGTTTGTAAAGACCACTATTTCTCTCAAAAATAATTTAATTACCAGCAGACCCACAGCTTGTTTTAAAGACAAATCTGCTATTCCTCTCAAAAATAATTTATTTACCAGCAAACCCACAGCTTGTTTTAAAGACAAATCCACTATTTCTCTCAAAACTAATTTAATTCTTGTGCTGTTTGGCAGCAGCAGCTCAGGGGAAGCCCAGCTGCAGGTGGAGGTGCCCGACTCCATCACCACGTGGATCACGGAGGCCGTGGCTCTGTCTGAGGAGAAGGGGCTGGGCATTGCCAGCCAGACAGAGCTGAAGACATTCAAACCCTTCTTCATCGACTTCACCCTGCCCTACCACGTCATCAGGGGAGAGCAGACCAAGATCCCCCTCACTGTCTACAACTACCTGCCCCTGTGTGCAGAGGTAAAGCTCAGCCCTCACCACACCTGGTGGGTGCTCTGCCTGCCACAGGGGATGAGGCTGGCAGAGGGGTAAGCTCAGCAGAGATGCTTTCAGAAGATAAATATTGCTTTTTTTCCAACTCGAACAAATGTCGTCGCTTGGTTTGGTTTTGGTTTGGGACGCCTGTGGTAGGGTGAAGTGTCTTGCAGCACTTCAGAAAAGCAAATGTTGAAAAAGGCAGGGAAAAGACATTTGGAAAGACATTCCCCAGTTTGGAATCTCATGCTGAACCAAAAAGAATTTCCTTCATAATCAAAAAGCTGCCAAAAATAGTTAATTTTGAAGGAATTTTTTATTCCCAAGAAATTCCATCTCCCTTGGTATTTTATTCTCTCACTCCCCATCTGCCCAGCTCCAGAGGTACTGGTAGAATTGCTGAGCTGAAAGTACTGCTCTCAGTCAAATCCATGGCTAGAAACTTTGAAGAAGGAATAATCTTCATTCTGTGATTGTTATGAAGAATTCTGTGGGTTTCCCATTGTTCACATAGATCACTTTGGCTTTGAGGCTGATATTTCCAAAAAATGACGTTCCCAAAATTTTCACAGGTCCACGTGAAGATTTCTGTCCCAAAAGGCATAAAGTTTGTTGGGCACCCTGGGAAGCACCACCTGACCAGGAAGAAGTGTGTGGCCCCTGGGGAAGCCAAGCCCACCTCCATCGTCCTGGCCTTCAACGAGCTGGGCCTGAGCAACATCACTGGTACCCACAACCCCAAACAGCTGCTAGAAGGGGTTTCACAAGTGTTTCTTCTTCTTCCTCTCTCAGGAAAAAAATTCTTATTTCCCTATTGCCCCAGTTCATTCATTCCACTTGCTGCCAGCTTGGCTTTTCAACCTCATTTATTGTAGGAGCAAATCCCCTGCCTGTGATGCAGAATGTACAAATAAACAGCAGGACATTCTCTGGCCATCAGTTTTCCTGTTGTGATATTAAGGTTGGGCCTCTTTCATTTCCCTGAAGAGATCAGTGGAAATTTTTAAACAGGAAAATAGCAACAAATTCTGTGCAAATAATCCCAGTGAAAACTAGGGAAGAGTTTCTCTATTGCCCCATGACTGTTCAAGTATTGCCTGGTTTTAGATGTGATCACTCAAATATGGATAAAGGGAATATCAGGGAGGTAATTACAGCACTTGCTGTACTGTTAATCAGCTGCTTCTAATTAGTTTGGATCTCTTTAACTTCTAGAGATCTTTATATCTCAAAATCTCTGCTGCTTTTCCCTTCTGTATCTTAGCAAAAGCTTTTGCCTATGGTGGGACCAACTGCTGCCAGGAGGGGATGCAGAGCCTGAAGAATGGCAAACACTCTGAGGACTCTTACATGGACAAAAGGAGCCCTGTGGGGGTGGATTATGTTCGCAGCAGTGTCATTATTGAGGTGAGAAAACACCAATTTATGGTAATTCAGGACAAAAAAAAAGCTTGGCGAATTGTGAAATCAAACGTGAGCAGGTTTGTAAAGATCCTCAAGGTGATTCATGGTGTGTTAGGAGATTGGAAATAATCAGCTTTAGTGGTTATTGTACAGAAAGAGCCCATTTGAGTCCCTCTGGTGAATCTTCAACACTGTTTAGGAGAAACAGCAGTGGATTTTTATGGGGTAAGCTTGCCCTGTTAATCTAAGAAATAAGATACAATGGAAGGTTCTCTGGCTCTGCTCTAGCTAACAGAACACAGTGCCATCACTTTTCTATAAAGGATATAAATCACTGCACAGCAGCGAAAATAATTTCTGTGTTTTCCAAGTCAAACTGGGATCTGTTCCTGCTAATCCAAGCCCTGTGGTTTATGCATGATTTCTGTCTTTCTATAGCCAGAGGGACTGTCCAGAGAATACACCTACAGTGTGTTCTTCTGCCCAAATGGTAAGTTCATGGTTTGAATGAGATATTCAGTTTGTTTGAATCAGTTTTAAAAAGAAGCATTTGGCTTAAAAAAAAAATTAAAAAAAATCTTTGTTTCCATTTCTCTGTGATTGATGAGTTATGGCGTGTAGGAAAAACTTGTAAATAAAGAGTCTTTCTTACCTGGCTGGCTAATTATGAATTTGCTCTAACTGCCCAAGTGATTTCTGGAAATGGCCATTAAATTCCTTTACTTTATGGAACAGTTTAAGTATTCAGCACTGTGGACAGTAACTGGGACTGTACTTTATTTTCAGCTGGTGCTTTAAGATTCAGTTCTGGAATCAGTCTGTCCTTTCTGCCAGAGATTTGGATAGCTCAGAGCTGGCTGCAGTAGCTGAACAGAGATGCTTTTGACCACTAGATTAGAAGTGAAAAATCACTTGCTGAGCTCCTAAGAAATTCAGCTGAGCAGTTTGAAGCATTTTCTGCCTTGAAGGGGGTAAAAATAAAAGATGAGAAGAAACACCCTTGTGTATTTTAATACTTCAAAAGAAGCTGGGGAAAAAGAAAAAACATTTACTTAGGAAAGGTCAGTTTGAATTTCAGTTATCAGCTCTAAGCTGAGCTCCAATTCTTCCAACATTCCCTTGTTTTTCTGACTAGAGAAAATACACATTTCCACACCTAACAAATATGAGTACCAGTACATGCAGAAGCCAGCCCAGATGAGGCACTTTGACCTTGCTGTGAAGGCTCACAACGATGCTCACCTGGCCCTGTCCTCGGGCCCCCACGACATGGCAGAGATGGCCGAGATCGTCATCGGGGGACAGCAGAACACCAAAACCTGGATTTCTACCAGCAAAATGGGAGAGCCAGTGGCCAGCAGGGACACGCCTGGCATCCTCTCCTGGGATGAATTCCGCAGCTTCTGGATCAGCTGGAAAAATGGAGTTATCCAGGTACTGAATCCTTCTGGAAATCTCTTTGTGAGCAGAGTTTGAGCACACACAGAGCAGTTTTTTCCTTGAGCTCCATTCCTCTGAAGCCCTGACCAGGCTGTTGTGGTCACAACAAATCTGCTTTTGCCATCAATATATTCTCAGGACCTCAATCCTTGTCATGGTTATACAAAGCAACACACTCCATTTTCAGAAGGCTTCAAAGCTGTTTTTATTCTAGCATGCATGTTTTTTATACCTATTTACAAAGCTCATAAATTTACACTTTACTCATTGGTCATGAGAGACAAACAAAGTGTTTATTGGAATAGTTGCAGGTTTCTCTTACTTATCCTTCCTTCTTTCTTGGTTTCTCTTACTTATCCTTCTTTCTTGGTTTCTCTGTCAACAACCTTGGTAGAAAATTCTGTCAGGGGTAAACATGGATCCTCTTCTCAAACATCTCTCTGTCTCCCAGAAGCCACTGTAAAACCTCTTCCACAAGTCCTCAACTCTTGTAGTGATGAAACCTTGCAGGCCAAGCCTGTGGATTTCCCATTTTACTTGCCTGGATTGTTTTGTGGGTGGGAAGGAGAGAGGCATTGCTGCATCTGCAGGGCACACCTGAGCTGGGAGGTGTCCCACACACGAGGCAGAGCGACTCCACCTCTGTGGGCTCTTGGATCTCCATGGTCTCTTGTCCCTTTCAGGTTGGCCACGGTACTCGGGTGCTAAACGAATCTATAATTGTGGAGTGGACAGTCCCCAAACAGCTTGAGGTGAAGTACATTGGCTTTTCCACAGGCTGGGGGTCAATGGGAGAGTTTAAAATTTGGAGAAAAGAAGAGACTGATGAAAATCACAATGAAGCATTTACTCTTGGAGTTCCCCACAACATAATTCCAGGATCAGAAAGAGCTACGGCTTCAATAATAGGTATCAATTATCAGGAGGTATCACTTAGGTACCCCTTCTCAAATGTGCACAGATGCTCCAGCTGTTACTTCTGACCAGTACTTGAGTAATGCACACCAGATAAGATAGTCACAGGCATTTCAAAAGGTTTATTACTGCTTAATTCTGGGGCAGATCATTCCTTGGGGTTTTTGGCACTTGTTTGAAGCCTGTTTGGGTTGACAGTGGCTTAAAGTTGGTGCCACGTGAGGGGCTTGGCAGGGGCACTGTCTGTTACAGCTCGTGGTGTTTATTTCATTGTCATCCCCATCACAAATTGTGGTCTAAACTGGGAAGTCGTGGATAATCAAAGGCTGAAATGTGGAATTTCTTTAATCCAACATGAGATTGAAGGGCTAGGACCTAACAGCTGAAGGACTTCCCACTTGTCACAGTTTATTTAAGCTGATTTGGGGTAGCCAGGAGCTATTAGTGCAGTGAGGTGGGGGATAACCATAAAACACCAAAAGGAAACTTCACTTGCCTGATCCTGAACATCTCCCCTCTTCCTCAAACAGGAGATGTGATGGGTCCTACCCTGAACAACCTGGACAACCTGCTGAGGTTGCCCTTTGGCTGTGGGGAGCAGAACATGATCCATTTTGCTCCCAATGTCTTTGTCCTGAAATACCTGCAGAAAACCAAGCAGCTCAGCCACGAGGTGGAGGTTGAAGCTACAGATTACCTCGTTCAAGGTAACCCATCACAATTACATTTACAGATGGAGAAAAGGCTTTGAATTCATAGTTTTGCTTTGCATGTCACTTTTTCTAACCAAGAATAGCCCCAGTGATGATGAGGATTCATCATTTCTTGCAGGATAATCTCAGCCTGACAGATTTTGATGGCAAGATGTTTTCCCCAGTATGTAACCTGTGCTTCCCTTCAGTAACTCCTAGTTCAGATGTTTATTGATTTATCTTTATCTTTTTTTAACTTAGCTGATTTCCGTGTTTAAACATTTTAGAAACTAAAGGAAAATTCAATTTAGTGAAAATCTGTATATTTAGGGAGTTTTGCCTTATTCATAGATTGTCCTTTCAAGCCTTTAGTCACTAAAGTTATGGTTCTTTTCTGGACTTCTTTTTAAACAGTATTTTCTTAGTATACCCAAAATCAAAATTTAGTATCCAAAGTAGTTAAAACCTTCATTATATGGCTCTAGGTTATCTGTCCTTTCAGTGTCCTGTCCTATTTTGCTAAGCAGCTCAAAACAACCTTTTTTGTTTTTTTCTTTTCCTTTTTTTCCCCACTGTTTTTCTCAGCATTTGTTTTGGGAAGAGCCACATGCAAAATAGTTTTATAACTAAGTGCAATTCTCAGGACAAGTAAGAATTCAGAGATCATTAAAAACCAGAGTGACCCAAAGGGACAAAGCTCTCTTGTGTATGAGTCAGACAATAGTCATGTCATGAAATCAGAGGTGACAGGGTTAGGTGGTTCTCCTCTGAAAATATAAATATAAAATGTAATATGTGAGATATTTCTTGTGTTCAGCAGCAAAAGCCCAGTTCTGCTTCCTCTGCCTGGCTCCAGTCATTTCACTTGTAATTTTCTGTGCTTGCTGGGAGCAGTGAGGCAAAGGGAATTTGTTAATGGCCCGAGTCAGTGTTTCCTTTGCAACATCATTTGCTTTTGTTTCTTTTTATGAATCTGCAAACCTTCCAGGTTTTTGGCTCCAAACTCTGTTTGCTAATTAACCCTTACGGAAGAAACCCCCAAGAGTTTTAAACCCTTCTGTGTTCACTGGAGCCCTGCCAAGTGTAAGGTTTAGATGGGAAATGCTCACTCTAGAAAGGCTTTTGTGATTTACCAAGCCAGAAAACTTCTTCATCCCTCAATCATCCATCATGGAAAGTGCTGATAACAAATACCAATAATTCCCATGTGTCCCCTCTTCTTTTGAAGTGGCCTGGGCTAAACCAGTCAGTATTTTTTCTACTTTCCCACCAAAGAAAAAAGCAGGTGAACAGGGGAAAACTGGAGAGGGGAAGGTCTGCAGTGAGCCCCAGCACCCAGAGGAGTGTTTAGAAAAGAGGAGGGCTCAGAAGAGCATAAAGTCTGTGCCACTCCCAGTCTATAAGCAAAGAAGAATAACAGCAAGAGCAGTGAAGCATAATTCAGCTCAAATTCACAGAATTACAGAATATCCTGAGTTGGAAGGGACCCACTGTGATCATTCCAGTCTCTGGAGTGAGTGGCCCATACAGCCTTGGCAGTTCTGGCACCATCAACATTCAAAAAGAGGAGAACAGGAACAGGAGAAGAGTGATATAAAATATAAGGACTGAATGTGTCCTTTCACACACTGGAAATGAACACTGAGGAGCTGCTGAAGCAGGCTCAGTAGTAAATCCTACCTGAGGGCTGCAGGGGGGGAAAGCAATTTAATTTATTTAACACCTATTTTTTTGGAGGAAGGAAAAAATAATACCATTACTTAGGCTTTCTGCCAGGTATTTGTACCTGTCCCACCACCCCCAGACAAAGATGTGGTGGCTACAAGAGCATCATCAACCTCTAGGTCTTCATTCCTCCCGTTTTCCCTGGGAGCACTGGGCAGTGTGGGAGTCATGGGCAGCCCCTCCCCAGGGACTGAGCTCTGCAGAGAAACTTTTCCCCCCACAAATGAAACAATAATCCACTGCCATAAAAACGTTGTGTGGAATAAAACTCCTGTGCTGCAGAATTCAGCAGGCATTTAGTGTCTTTTGACACAATCTTCTTGCAGGTTGGAGTTTTCCTTCTCAGAAATATCCATCCTGGAAGGTTTGACTCCCATGGGTGTTTCAGAGCTTTATCCAAATGTGTGTTGTGTATTCATCCATGTGGAGGGATGAATACACATTTCATACAATTCATTTGTTGGGATGGGCATGGCTGCAGACAAACAGGTCTGAGAAACAAATAATTTTCCTAGTAGAAAGAGCAATCTTTTTTTTTTTCCATTTTCAGCCTCAGAAGACATTCCAGGAGAGAGTTCTTATCTTCAGCATTCACCTTAATTATTCACCTAATTATTATAATGTTAATGATGATGTCTAAAGCAAGCCTTGGGACAGCCCCTGCAGCTGGAGGTGTTCATGCATGGAGGTCACAGCTGTTGTTTTTATGTTACCTAAAGTTGTTCCAAGCAACAGCTTTGGGAGAAGTCAGAACCCAGCTGTAATGTCACAGCCAAAAGCTTTTCATTTGTAAATGGAAGTAAAATGGAAGGAGAGTGGCTGTATGCTTAAGTAAAAGCCTTTTGATAATGCATTTTATCAGAGAAGTGTCAGATTTTTAGCATTTGCAGTGTCCAAAAGGCAGGAGCTGCAGTGTCCCAGATGTTCCCCTGAGCAGATTTCTGGATGAGCTGCACACAGAGCTGGCTCTCACTCACAGCAGAATAAGAAGCTGCCTCAGGCAGCAGAATCCCTTACACATGTTCCAGATGTCCTGAGTCTTCATTCACTTTAAATACTCATTTTTCTCTGTGTCAGGAGGTTTTGGACTCCCCAATTCTTTTGTGCCTTGCAGGCTACCAGCGCCAGCTGACCTACAAGAGGCAGGATGGCTCCTACAGTGCTTTTGGGGAGAGGGACTCCTCAGGGAGCATGTGGTGAGTGCCTATTTAAAACTGAGCTCAAACTAGTTAAAACTGAGTAAGAAAAGGGCTAAGTGTTTGCTAAACAGGAAGAACACACAATTGGCTGGGAAGGGGGAGTAATTTTCCAGCTTCTCTCGTGGTATCACACACAGTGGAGAGCAGAAATAAAGCAATAATATTCAGTGACTGTGGAGTTGCTGTACAGTGCTGCTGAGGGCTCTGACTGCACTAGCTGGTGTTTCATAGGTAATTCAGGGCTCACGAGCAGCTAGGAGAGTTAAATCTGCTAGTTAGTGCAGGTTTCAGGCACAAACTGTAGTTAAGGATCATATCTGCTACTGCAATAGCAATTAAGGGGTATTTAAGTACCTGATTCCATTAGGGAATGGGGTTTTGCCTGAAGCAGGGAAATGTGGCAGAGGCTTCTGTCAGGTGAAAAACCAACCAAAACTAACTCAAAACCCCTCAAAGATATCCTTGTACCAACAGGATGGATTTGTGCACTGTTATCCTTGGAGATACTCCTTAAATAAGTTTTCTGTGACATCAGTTTGTTATATATTCATAATTATGTGTAGTGAACTTTTTCTCTAAACTAGTTTACATATTCTATGAATTGTTTAGCATGGCTCCTCCTTGGTTCTACTTTTTTAGAGTGTGTGGATACCTTGGTTGTGGTTTTAGTCTTTCTTTATTATCATTTTTAGTTTTGGCCCTGGCTCACACTGTGTTCAGTCAGTGAGTGCTGATAATTGACAGATCTGTAGCAGGTGTCTTCATTATATTTTTATTGGATCTTATCCCATCCAAGCAGGCGTTTTAACACAAGCACACTTATATCAGCTATTTTACTACTATGTCTAAGTTTAATTAACTAAATAAATAAAAACTATATCTTTATAACAGAGTTATTTTAACACCACACATATAAAATCTATTTAAATATTTGCAAAAAGCCAATATTATAATATGGATCTATAACAGAGGGAACTTCCACCTCAGCCCCAGCATCTCCCAGTCCCTGGATGTGAAATGTGGTGACACAGAATTACTCAACACTCCAAAAATCCCCTGCCAGGCAGCAGAGTTTGCTACCCTCCCATTCCTCGGGGGCTTGTAAATGCAATGACTCAATCCCCCCAAGCTGGCCAGTGCTCACACTTGTTGTCAGAGGTTTAGAATTCCAAAAACACTTCTGGTGCTTTCTGAAGTCTTAATTCTGTATAAAGTGTAACACAGCTTCAGGCTTGAGGAAAGGATCTGGATTTCTTATGAGAAATATATTGATTCTTAATTGTAAAATACTTATTCTCAGCTTAAAAACTTTAATAATTTGGGATAAAAAAGAACCGTATTTCAGAGTGTGCCATAATTATGGCAAGTAAACCTTTGAGTTCTACTTTTCAGTTTAGTTTGTTGACCTTTAATTCTTTTCTTACCCAAAGTCTGGACAGTGATCAGGTGCTTTTATGTCCCATGACCTTTAACAACAATATTTAGTGTTTCCCAACAAGATTTTTTTCAATTTGTGCTTTCTAAGAATATAGTTTTTTCCTTACAGGTACTTTAATCTGAATTTGTTTTCTCAGTAAAGATGATTAATTCATTTTTACAGGTTAACAGCTTTTGTCCTCAAGTCCTTTGCTCAGTCCCGTGGGTTTATTTTCATTGACCCCAAAGAACTCACAGCTGCCAAAGACTGGATCATCCAGCACCAGAAAGAAGATGGTTCTTTCCCTGCTATGGGCAGGATACTAAACAAGGACATTCAGGTAAAAACCACCCAGGATCCACTTGCAGCAAGGACATTGGAAAAGTTATTATCAGAACATGAAGTGATGCAGTTTGAGTATGAATTTTACACTTGAAAGGCTGGGATGCTACAGGGAGAACCAGGGGAATTTCAGTTCAAAAAAGCCTATTAGAATGTGTCTGTGGGGTGTCCTCAGAGGATGGAAATCAAGGTGTGAAGTCTCACAAAATACTACATTAAATGTGTCCTCAGGCCAGGCACATCTGGCTCCAGCCAGTGTGGGCTTGGGTTCCTAAATTTTGTACTCCTTGTGTGTGCAATGGAAAGAAATTTGATGATGCTTCAGCTTCTCCTCTGGTTCTAACACATCCTTTGCATTGCTTCAAAGTCTGGGGTTTTTTTCCCCAGTGTCCTTTTCTCCAGTTTTCATCCAGTGGTTTGTGTTGTTTCCCCTCCCAGGGTGGGATCCATGGGAAGATCTCCCTGACAGCTTATGTGGTTGCATCTCTTCTGGAAACAGGTGTCACTTCTGAGGTAACAAAAGCTTGGTTAAAGCACCTCCAAAAATCCTCTCTATTCTTCCTTTATAAAAACTTTATTTTGCTGCTGTTTGCCTTCAGAGGTTCTGTGCTCTCTAGAATGACTGACAGCATCCAGGGAAGGGAGGCCTTGGGATTGTTCTGAAGTTAAAGAATCTGTTTTGAAGTTGTTCAAGGTGGTCTCCCACCCTCCAGCCATCAGCTCATGATTGTTTCACCAGAGCAAAACACTCCCCTGCAGCCCCATCCCTCAGCCTCTCCCAGAAATTACTGCAAAAGGAGTTTTCTGCCTCTCAGCTTCAAGCTGTGAGTGCAGCCTGTGCACATCCTGCTCTCCTGCCTGTAGAGACTCAGAAATCCTGGCTTGGTGCTAAAAGCAGTTTAACTTGGGGATCCAGAGAGCTCTTGTGGTCTGGCTTGGCTGCAGGGGCCAAAATGCTACTGCTGTTAGATTACAGTGCCTTTGGAGAGCTGAGCTCCTGCACTGTGCTGGATTCAGGGCTCTGGAGAAAAATGTTTCTGTTCTTTGCAATGAGACAGAGCAGGAACACTGCAAAAAAGAGAAACAGCTGTGTAGAAACAGCCAATTCCATGGGGAAAAAACCCAAATTTCCAGTAGAACTGGTATTTTTGGGATTCCTCCTTAAAACTCCTGCTTACACAGTGCTCCTGCCCTCTGATGTGTTTCTGCCAGCATGCAGTTTCACTAGGATGGAGATGTTTAGCTAAGATTATGGTGACATTCCCCCTGCCTAGGACTGGGAAGATGCTCCCTTGGAGCCAAGGGAGAGGGCAGGGGGGCTGTGCATGGGCAGAGCTGTCTGGGAGGTGAAAGGAGGAGGTGCAGTGGGTGTTGCAGCACCTCTTGGTGATCTGCTCTCACACAAAAGGGTCCATTCAGGCACAGCCCTGTGGGTTTGTGGAGGTGTCAGAACAGCCAGTGCCCGTCAGGACCTCTGATAACCTCAGCACTCCTCACCCACCCTGTGGAGCCTGAGGAGTGAGACCAGGCTGCTGCTGCAGGCAGATGCCCCCTAAGCCCCTGCTCTTGGAGTGGAAGGCTTTCAACCTTATTAAAAATTCAGAAAACCCTGCAGAGCTCACAGAGGAACTTCCTGCCTCCCTGTCAGCAGTGTCCCCCTGTGAGCAGTGATGTGATGCTCTCTCTGGGCTGCTGTGTGTCAGGACAGCCCCAGCAGAGCAGTTTCTGTGCATTCTAATGGTTTTCCTAGAGGGGATTTGTGAGTGTTCCTAATGATCTTAGCTAGGAAATGAGGAAGGGGAAGGTTAGTGCCACAGGGAAATCAAAGGAAACCAAATTACATCAAGTCCAATTAAATTGTTTCTATAAATTATCAGAGCCACGTTCCTGCATGGTGAGGTCATTGGGGGAGTTAATAAAACATGTTTGTTGGCTGCAGGGACCCCTGGGAACCTTGGCCTTTATTATCCTCTGGCGTCTGCCAGACGCTCCAGAGTGTCAGGAACACAATCAAACCTCCAGCACAGAACTCGCCCCTGCCCTGCTCATCTGCTGCCTTGCAGGGGCACACAATTTCTTCAGCTTTAGGGGAGGAAAAGTGTGTCTCAGTGTTAGCTCAAATCATTCTTACTCTGCTGTTTGCACCTTTTCTTTTTTAACTTTTGATGCATGGCTTTTCTCAGGGTGTCCAATGTGTTCTCAAAGTGGCCATGCTGTTCTGCAGACAGAAAAAATGTATCTTTTTGAGTTTATTATGTGTTTTTTGTTTGGATTTTGTTGTTGGTTTTTGTTTGGTTGCCTTTTATTTTAATGTAACTCGTTAATAAAATGATTCTAACTTCTGAAACTGATACATCTACCTGGGCTCTTTCCCCTGTGAATGCAGGAAGAAAGAACAGCTGTAGACAAAGCAAAACACTTCCTGGAGTCCAACCTGTACTCAGCAGAAGACCCCTACACCACAGCCCTGAGTGCCTACGCCCTGACCCTGCTGCACAGCCCCAGTGCAGCTGCCACGCTGCGCAGGATGAACAGCATGGCCATCACCCAAGGTAGGATGCTCGACAGGAAAACTCAGCCAAACCTGGTGTTTCTTTGGCCATGTGAATTAAAAAGGGAGATTCTGCCAGCTGGAGCTGAGCTGAGCTGTTTGGAAGTTTGCTGTGCTCTTGTGTTCTTCACTGTTCTGTCCCCACACTGACCAAGCACAGCCTGGATGGGGCTGTTTGGGTTCTGGAGAGGATGGGGCCTGGGGGATGAGGGATTCCTCACTGACAGGTTCTGCAGTTTCACTGAAAGAGACTGATTTTGGAATGGAAAAAAAAAAAAACAGAAGAAAACTCCCATCTCTCTGAAGTGATTGATAACATTTGTGTTCATATGGACTAATGCAAGGAAATCATCACAGTTTCCTTTCACAACCATAACTGGGCTACCATGAAGCTCCTTTGTGCCCTCTTTAGGATCAGAACCTTGGTAGGATCCTTTAAATCCTATCAGAAGAGGAACACCAACGGGACAAACTGTAAATCTGGAAATTTTTCAGTACATTATAAAGAAAACACATAGAAAATGAAGAGGTGAGATTTTCATACAAAGCCAAGGTGGCACAGTTTGTCTTTGTAAGGCATGGGTGCTCCCTTTGGAGAGGGCTCCACACGTGAGGCTGATGCTGAAGGAAGGCAAGTGCAGCAGAATCACAGAATATCCTGAATTGTAAGGGACCAACTCATGAGTGAGTGGCCCACACAGAGATCAGTGGTGTTCAGTTATATTCTCTAACCAGCAGAGTGATTTTGAGTTGTTCAGAGGCTCTGCAGTGCCCTGTGACACCTCGCATTCCCTGATGGTGTATTTGAATCCAAAATCCAAAAATCACCCAGTTTTTCACACTGAATCATCTCTGTCATTCCAAAGGGAGCCCTTTGCCCAGGGTGTCCAAAAGGAGAGACAGTGCAGCTCAGGGCAGGGAGCCAATGCTCCCTGCATTCAAACTCCAAAAGTGGAATTTGACTCTTCTCGTGCACAGAGGCTCAGCTCCACTCCTGCTCTGCTAACACCCCTGTCCCTTTCCCTTTGTCCCAGATGGATTTACACACTGGAGCCTCACGGGAACCCTTGTCACTGATGAAGACACCTTCATGGGGTTTAATGATGGACTCTCTCAATCAGGTAATTGGGAACCTGCAGGGCAAAGGCAGAGAAAAGGGAAGGGCTGCCACACCAGCCTGCATTGCAGGGAGTTGTTTATAAAGTACAAGGTATTCTGAAATTGTCACTCAGTCAGGGAAGAGTCCAGAGAAGAGAGAGCTCAGAAAGGCAGGTAACATGCTGAAAGAATACATGAGAGACAGAGCAAGATGTGGTCCAGACAGGATGGGTTTTTCAGTCCCACATGTCTCAGCAGCTTTCACTCCATTTTTTTTTAAAGACAGAATCCCACATGGCTTTCACTTTTCTGTCAGGGAGTAATAATTCAGAATGGAAATCTGAGGGAATTTAAATGTATTTCATTTTAGAGCTATTTATCTTTGTGTTTTCAAATGGACCTAAAGATTGTAGCACTGACACTTCAGCTGATTTTTCTAGACTTTAGGTGCCAAAGCCAAAGAAAAAGTGAATGATACTGTAATTTTCAAGCCCCTAAAGCTATTGACTCTTTGGATGTGAAGTAGGTGCAGCAGTGCTCAAGAGGGATCTGACTGGATATTGTATGAAAATCTCTAGGGCAGGACAACAGTGTGGGCAGCAGCAGAGTAGAACTGGAGTGGGAGAGGAATTACTTGTGGGATACAGTCAAGAAAAAGGAGTTTATCTATTGTGTAAATATATTTATTATTGGTTATCTATTGCCTGAAGGGAGGCTTTTGTTGAAAGCAGAGGTATTTTAGGCAGGTGAAGCTCCTTGGGTATAGACATTTTAACTTCCCTTTTCCTGTGTTTACTTCTACAGACTCTTAACTTTTTAGAATTATGTCTCAGTTAATAAATATTCATAGAACTATCTCTAGACCTGCTTGGATTCTCACTTCTAGGTGGTATTTTGATGGGTTTTTTAAATTCACCCCTCTTCCAGTTGTTTCTGCAGAGGTGGAAATGACATCTTATGCCCTTCTGACCTACACACTCCTGGGAGACGTGGCCTCTGCACTCCCTGTGGTCAAGTGGCTCTCACAGCAGAGGAATGCCCTGGGAGGATTCTCATCTACTCAGGTGGGCAGCCTCTGGAAAAGGTAGCTGGGATGCAGGCATTGGCAATTGATTCAGGAATGTGGAGTTTCTATCTTCCTGACAGAAATTGTTTGTGTTCTGGTAAGAAGAAAAACTCTCCAGGGCTCTTTACTGCTTCCTCCTCAGACTGGTAATTTGAAAGGAACCTGGAGTTTGTCCTCACAGGTGCCTTTGATAGAAAAAGTGAGCAAAACCTGGTGTTTATTTTGCCATATGAATTAATAAGGGAGATTCTGCCAGCTGGAGCTGAGCAGAGCTGTTTGGAAGTTTGCTATACTCCTGTATTCTTCACTATCCTGATTTCTCCCTCTTCTGGCCCCCAGGACACCTGTGTGGCCCTGCAGGCTCTGGCTGAATATGCCATCCTTTCTTATGTTGGAGGAGTCAACCTGACCATTTCCTTGGCTTCCACTAACCTGGACTACCAGGAGACCTTTGAGCTTAACAAGATGAACAAAAAAGTCCTTCAGACTGCAGTGGTAGGTGGTTTTGTGCAGGCAGGTTGTTAAAGCAATCCATGTGAGCTGGGTTCTGAATGAGGACTTGGATCAGGGATGGTAAAAGCAGAAGTTAAGCACTGAGACCTGTGGGACTTTCTGTGGGTTTGTGGATGGATTCTGCTGGGAAAGAGACAGCACTCCTAATTAAAGGCATTTTTCACCATAACCAATGCCTGATGTTTACTTTGTGCTGCTGTTTGTCTCTGCCATTGTAAGTGCAGGTGGTGAAGAGACTAAGCCATGCTCACTTCACTTCTGCAGTGAAGTCCTTTATAAAGGTATTTTGTACAGAACAGAGCTAAATTTAATATTCATTTCCATTCTGAGTGCCATGTCTTGTCTGTGTCTCACCTGTGCATTCTCTCCAGATCCCCAGTATTCCAACAGGGCTGTTTGTGAGTGCCAAGGGTGAAGGCTGCTGTCTGATGCAGGTAAGCTTGTCATGGGGCTGGAGGAAGCATGGCAGCAGATGATCTCTAACCTCACAGCCTGTCTGCTGCTTTTGTCATCCCACTTTGCTGTGAGGGAGGACTTACACTTGGAATTTCTCTCAAAATAGTTCTATAACTATTGGTGTTGCTTTAATTTGGGGAGTGAATGTGTAGATGTCTATGGAAGCTCTGGTAGATCTTATATAGAGATAGAATTGTGTGTTATTGTAGCAAGAGTACCCTGAACAGGGAATAATTAGCATTGACTCCATGATTGCAGAAGGCTGATCAATTGCTTTATTAAGCTATACTAATACTATACTATACAATTAAACTCATAACCTTTATAGATTGTCTGATGTAATTTTAATTTAATTGCTCAATCTTGCTTTATTAAGCTATACTATACTATACTGTACTATACTATACTATTAAACTCATAACCTTTACAGACTGTCTGATATAGTTTTAATTTAATTGGTCAATCAATCTAAATACAATCCAGTGTCCATCTAAGAAATCACCCTTTGGTAAACAATCTCCATAACACGTTCTGCATGTGCACAACAACAGGTGCAGCAACTGGAGATAAGAATTGTTTCTCATTCTCTTCTCTGAACTTTCTTACAGCTTCTCACAGCTTCCCAGGAAAATCCTGGGAGGGAACTATGTCTCTCTCTGCTCAGAGGACATGTGATTAGCACATGTGGTAAATCCTCTGTTGTCCCTGTGCCTGCCATTCCCAACTCTGAAGAGATCTTGTGTCTGTGCTGGACGTTTGTGGACACTTGGAAACGTTGGAGCTGTAATATTCCACCCTGATTTGTTTTACTTTCCCCTCTTCCCCCTGCAGATCGATGTCACTTACAATGTACCTGATCCCATAGCCAAGCCAGCCTTCCAGCTGCTGGTGACCCTGAAGGAGCCCAAGGCAGAGCAGCCCCTGCCAGCCCCAGCCCCGCTGCGCTTGGGCTCTGCCGCCGGGCGCCGCCCCGGAGCCCTGCACAGGGACAGGGCCCTGGGGGACGACGAGGACCCGGCCTCAGACCAGGACCACCGAGAGTACAAAGTCATCCTGGAGACCTGCACGAGGTAGGAAGTGCCAGTCCTGCCCCCTCACAGAATGTTTGGTTTGCTGGTCTTGGTGTGCATTGTCACCAAAGGGGTACTGGGGACAGGCAAAGGTGGTACAGAGACTCTGTCTTCAGAAGGCATGGAAAGTCCTTTATTGTTAGAAATCCACAGTTCTTACAGAAACAATGGTGGATCTAAGACCTGATTGCCTTTAGGAATCTTCTTTCACCTATTGGTCAAGGAGGGACAGCTCCCTCTTGTAAACGTCTTTGACAAACAGAGATTGCCTGCCAGGTGCAGAGATTGAGTGTCACCCTGTTCTTTTGAGGTCTTCTGAGCCTTCTGATGTTTATATTCTTGTAATGAACTTTCTCATGGACTTTATATAATAATTAATTGTTTTACATTCTTTTCTGGAGGAGGAAAAATTTGATGGACTGTTAGTTTGTCCAGTGTCATTGGAGAGGTGACACTGTCATCCTCCAATCCACTGTCACTTATAGAAATCTATAAATGTTAGAGTCAGAATTAAACTTTCCCTCTTTTTTTACCTGAAAGATTCCAGTGTCTGCATCATTCTATTTCGTGTCCTAGAGCGACAATGGAGATAATTGTTTTAATTCTTCCTCTGAGCTTTCTCACAGCTTCCCAGGAAAATCCTGGGAGAACTCTGTCTCTCTCTGTTCAGAGGATGTGTGATTACTACAGTGCACAGCCCCGCTGTGCCAGGAAAGCACCGAGTTCTCTCTTGCTGTGCTGGCTGGATCTCAGGATTTTCAGCAGAATTTTCAGCCACCGCTGTGGGTTGTAGGACAGAATCATTCCAAATTACAAATGTGATGTTATTTCCTTGTATAAGGATGAAAAGAAAAGGTTCTGGATTATTTTCACCACTTGGGTTGTAGGACAGAGTCATTCCAAGGTCATTCTTGATCATTTCATTGCTAAGTGTGTGTCAAAGGTAGAGGAACAAGAACACCTTGAGGTTTTATCACTGAGTTTCATTATTGTCTCTCCAAACCCTGAAAAATTACAAATGTGGTGTGATTTGCTTGTATAAGGATGAAAAGAAAAAGTTCTGGATTATTTTCTTAAAAGACTCAAAGAGCAAGGTAAATTCAATTGGTTGACTAATATCTTAATTGTGTCAATAGTTTTATAATTATTACTGACTTGACTTTATTATTTGAGCTCCTTAGTGGTTCAGTTTTGGATAGCAAAATCCTAACAAAAGATGCTTGTTGCCATGGTATGAATTTGGAATATATGGCAAAGACACAATATATGCAGATATTTGTTAATAAGCTCTTAAATTCCTTATCTCCTTGCTCCATGTAATGACATGTAAAATAACTTTTTTAAGTGGCATGATCCAGAAATTTTATTTCTAGCTCTCAAAGCACTTTGCAGAGACATGAGCAGTTCTGTCTTATTTTATAGATTGTCTAAAGCCAAGCTGTTTTCTCACAATAACTTGAATTTTCCAAACAGCAGCAAGAATAGTTGCTGACCCTTATTAAATCCACTTACAAGTTTTGCTCAAACACCTTGCTACTGCTGCAGTCGTCAGGGATTGCTGATATCTTTAGAAAGCATTTGGATTTTTAGGGAGGTTATTGGGAATTTGACCCAGGAGAGATAAAGCCACAACCAGAAGAAACCATTTCCAAGAAATTCAGAACTAATTTCATGTTTGTGACCAGGAGCATGGCAGGTGCTGCTTCTCTCCAACAGGAAGGTCCAGAGGGTGGCTCAGATGGAAATGGAAAATTGTGGCTGCCCTATCAGAGCTTAATGGGAAACTCTGGCTCCCCTGTCAGCTTCTGTCCCTTCCTTCCTGCAGAGGCAAGGGCACACAGAGTCTGCAGAGCTGAGCAGAGCTGCAGGGCCCCAGGAAAAGCTGGGATTTGTTTTCCCTGGCCCATGGGGCAGTGTTATGGCACAGGCACTGCCCCCCTGTGTCACTGTGCCAACCTCTTCTCCCCCTGCCCGAGCCCTCAGCCTGTTTTGGGGAGAGGATAAAATTCCACAGTGGTGTCAGATGCTGAGGAGGCTGCCCTGCATCAGCACAACCTCTCTGCTGATAATTCTGAAACTCCTGCCCTGGGAATTGCTGCAGCTGAGGCAGAAATTTGAGAGGAAGCCCAGTGCAGGGAGATGGATTGCTTGGAAAGGAAACAAAAGCAAATAAAATCTTCCTTTCCTCCCCTTCTTCCTGTAATGATGCTCTCAGCTCCATCATCATCTTGCTGGGGCAGTGTGAAGAGAGGAGTGCAGCTAAGGATGACAACTGAGCTATTTGGAGCTGGGGGTGTTCTCAGAATGTGATGAAGTGTTGTCATGCCCAGTGACACCCCTGGGGCACTGCTGGAGGGTTAGGGAGAACCCAGGGTGGAAAACAGAAAGCTGTGATGTGTACCAGAGCCTGGGGAGATGCAGGCAAAGGGATCCTGAACGATTTATTTGGGAGTGTGGGTCTTTTTGAATACACTTTGCATGCTCTTGCATCTTTTTATGCCCATTACCAAGAGGAGCATGGAGTTAGATGGGAATTAAGGAGGTTTAATGGCTCTGGGAGCCCTGAGTGCCTCCCCCAGAGCCAGCTGGCTCTGTCCCCAGGCCACCTCATGCTACTGTGAGCCTTGGGCTGGGGTGTGGCACCCCAGCTTCAGCCAGTTCACCACCCCTGAACTGAGGGGGCTCCAGACAAGGAGCCAGCTCAGAGCTGGCAGATTTGGGGCTGGAGGCTGTGGGAGTGTGTTTTCTCAGAGCTGGCATGAGCTGATGAGCCCTGCTGGGTCCAGCTCAGGTGGGGCACAAACAGGTGAGCTGCCAAGGAGGGAGGGCTGGGAGCTGCTGGCAGTGCAGAGAAAAGGAGCCTTGTTCTGGGATTCCAGGAGCTGCCTAAGGATGGAATCTCCTCTGCCATGCTGCAAAAACTGAGATTTTTGCCCCAACAGTCCTTCTCTCCATGCCTTTCGTGTGTGGGGATTTTGTGCACATTTACAACAACTCAATTTCAGAGATTTTTCTGAGTTTTCAGTTATACTTTAGAGGATGATGCAGTGATTTAACACCAACAAGGCAGTGACTTTGCTGTCTCGTTAGCAAAAGCCCTTTTCTCAGTGCCAGGGGTGAAACAGGCATTTATGAAACCCCAGGACTGAATGACCTTGGTGTTGGGAATTAGCATCCCTCTCCCAGCACAATCCATCTACACTCCTTCTCTCAGGATGGAAAAGAAGTTTCTCCTACTCCAAGGGTTCATTTCCTTTTACCAAGTGCATTTCTCAGTGATTAATTGAAAAAGAAAGCAAGCAGCCCCACAGGTGGCTGCATCCATCCCTCTGCTTTTCTGCCTCTGTGTTCCAGGACATCTCCTACCCCCTGTGAGCTGGGCATCATTTTGTTAAATAAAAGCAGAAAAGAGGATTTTTGAAAACCAACTTGTGGCTTTCCCCAAGCACAATGAGGAGAGCCTTTTAATGTTATTTTTGTCTTCTTCTGGAGTTGTTTTCTCCATTCTGAGTTGTCCATGGATCTTGAGTTTGTTCCCATTTTCTCTCTTTTTGTTCCCATGGGAAGATGGCTGCACTCTGGATCCTCAAACATGGCTGTGTTGGAAGTGCCTTTGTTCTCGGGGTTTCGGGCAGATATTGAGAGCCTGGAGCAGGTGAGGGATGGGATTGGGATGGGATCAGTGGGATGGGACTGATAGGATGGAAATGGGATCAGTGGGATGGGGTGGGATGGGATCAATGGAATGGGATCAATAGGATGGGATGGGATAAATGAAATGGAATGGGATCAGTGGGATGGGATGGGATCCATGGGATGGGATCAGTGGGATGGAGGTGCAGGGCTGGGATGTGGATCTCTGACTGGGAGGGGTTCCCTCTGAGGACCAAGAGGAGGCCATTGAGTATCAGAGCACTGCTGAAAAGATGCAATTAAAATTGGGAAGGGGGAGGAAGAGATTTCACTTGTCAAAAAATCTGAAATGAGGGAACAGAGGTTCTGAGCAGGCTGAGCAAACCCAACCCAGCCAAGCCAAGGTTTTCCTGAGCCAGTGCACAGTAATTAACTGAAACCCCTTGGAAAAGCTGAGGTGCAAATGTGCTCTAACAGGAGCTGTTTATGGCTGCTTAGTGAGCTGTGTTATCTCCAACATCTGGATCCCATTTCTTTGGAGGCTCTGTGTCTTGGAATTTTTTGCCCTTTTTATTTTTTTCCCCCTTCTCTCTGGGAGAACATCGTGTTTCTTGCAGCCAAGCTGAGGTGGACAGAATGTGCCTCGTGCCCAGCCAGCCCTTCAGGGCAGATGAACTGTAATCTTGAGCTTTGCTTTAGATTTGTGGGAGTATTCCATTCATTACAACTCATTACATTTTGTGGAACGTTGCATTCACTGGTGGGGTTCTTATGCTACAAAGATTTATTTTTTTAAGGACTGTTTCACTGAAGAGGTGTAAAATTTTTGCGTCCTTGAGAGCTGGTAAAGAGCTAAAAAATATTTTACTTCTAAAACACCTCTTCTGTAAATAACTTTATCTCATTATATTGGGAAGGGAAGGAATCGGAGTAAAGAATTTTAAAATAGAACCATTGTGAAGTTGAATTTGATATCATAATTCGAGGAGGAGTGCACATTGCTTTATCTTCTCTAGGATTTCCCTTGATTTGGCTGATTTATAATTGAAACACCATTGCATTTTCTTGGAGGAAAAAGCCCTCTGGAGGGGTTTACAATCCATGTCAGAAGCTGCTGTCAGATGTCTCCTGGGGTGTCCCTGAAGCCACAGAAATTTTTGTATTAATCCCTGAGAAGCAATTGCATCCTTTCAGAACAGGGGATCAGATATGAAATTATTCCTATAAAGAGAAAAACTGCAGTTATTTATATCCATTCACAAGCTGCACGTGGAGAAATCTATTTTCAAATCCAAGCATGTAAAATGGATCCATTTTTATTTGCCTGTGGGTCTGATATTCTCCCTCGTGCAACCAACTTATGTTCAGGTGGGAGCAGGAGTTCTCCAACATTCCCATGGAAAAAAAAAATAAAAGAAAATGAGGTGAGGAGCCTGCAGTGGGTTTGGTTCCTGCTCTCCCCCCTCTGCTGAAGGTGCTGGAGTGATGGTCATGTGGAGTGCTGTCAAATACATTCTCTTTCATAGTCATTCGTGTAAATAATAGCAGAAAAAATATGGATGAGAACCAGAGAGAGCTCCAAATATCCCAGGAGGGGAACCACAGGATATCTTCATGGTGTTAAACTTATGGAATGTTCTGTGAGCAGAGGGAAAGGGTCAAAAGAAAGAGTGTGTAGGGTTTTCACTGCAGAAGAACAGGAAAGTTCTTAAGGAATATATCCCTCTACTCATTTTTCTTTCCTTTTTTCTTTTTTTCCCCCCTCCCCACTTTGGAAAGCAGGAAATTTTCCTAAACTGTGAAGGATTTTGCATCTTCAAGAGGGAATGTTCCCCTTGAAGACCTGAATTCCATGGTTTTTTATTGCATTTAAACCCTTTTGCATCTGTAAAAATGAAATGTGGTGACAAAGCCCAGGCATATCTATGGGTACAAGCCCAAAGTGCAGATAAACCCCACCTGATCCACCTCGCCAGGGGGACCTCAGAGCCCCTTGCAGGGCCTGAAGGGGCTCCAGGAGAGCTGCAGAGGGACTGGGGACAAGGGATGGAGGGACAGGAGCCAGGGAATGGCTTCCCACTGGAAAAGTTAAATTTAGATGGGGAAAAATCCCATTTAGATGGGATCTTGGGCAGGAATTGTTCCCTGGGAGGGTGGGCAGGCCCTGGCTTGGGGTGCCCAGAGCAGCTGTGGCTGCCCCTGGATCCCTGGCAGTGCCCAAGGCCAGGCTGGGCAGGGCTGGGAGCAGCCTGGGACAGTGGGAGGTGTCCCTGCCATGGCAGGGCTGGCACTGGATGAGTTTTAAGGTCCCTTCCAACCCAACCCATCCTGTGATTTCTTCCTGGCTACCAAACAAGGGCCCAACACCAAATTCACCACTGAAGCCTCACTTCATGTTTTGGACACCACCTTGAGCAGAGCCAAGTCCCACCTTTGCCCCTGCTGCCTTTTCCCTGCCCTGCTGTGGAGGGGCTGGGCTGTAAATCAGCATTTTCTGGGATTTTCTGGGGTTTTTCCCCTGAGCCCAGGCCGGGAGCAGCCCCACGTGCAGCCCCAGGGCAGCGGCGCTTAATGAGGGCTCTGTGCACAACCCACCACAAATCCTCCTAATAATGCTGCATGTCGACAGGGTCAGGAGGTCAGCCCGGGCTGGGATGGATCAAACCTCACCAGAAAAATGCACTTTTAGCTGAGCCCAGCAGTTCCCGGTGGCGCCGGCGTCTCCAGGCCCTCATAAAAGGCCTGTCTGCAGCCATGGGCTGCTGAGTAATAACAGCCACCAGCAGGGCCCGAAAATTATAAGGACAAATTAAATTGGCCCTTTCCATATTGTGTGGGATTTAAAGACATGTTGCTTTGCTTGTTACAGGAGTAGCAGGAAGCTGGGGAGCGGGGGTTTGCAAGTAGAGAGCTCTGCTGAGGGGAGCCGAATCTGCTGGTGGCAGGTTTGGGTGAATTTCAGTGTTCAGAAAGAAGCAGTGCTGCTTGTTTTGTGTCATTCTAAATCATAATTATAGTAATAGTTGTTATTATAATTGTTTTAATATTTATTAGTAATAATTGTTATAATAATTATGAAAATAATAATAATTATTTGTTCCCATTTCTGCAGAGATTTTAGCCTACGATCTCAAAGTAACTTAAGATATATAATATTATAATATTATATATCATTATTATTTTAATAATTATTAGTAATTATTATTATAATTATGAAAATAATAATTATAATTATTTGTTCCCATTTCCACTGAGATTTTAGTCTATGATCTCAAAATAACTTAAGAACCTTAAAAGAAAAAAAAATCCTCCCAAAAAAAAAAGCACTCAAAAAACAAGAACAAAACAAACCCCCCCAAAAAACCCAAAACCAAACAAAAACCCCACAACAATATCAAAAGAAAAAAACCCCACAAGAATATGTTTACAAATGGGATTGTCTAACAGAGATTGATGTAATGGGACAGTTTAGAGAACAGAATTATAGAATAGAGTGCTCTGGCCCTATCTTGGCTCTCCAAACCTTGATTAAAACACCAAAGTCCTTTTCCACAAACCCTCATCCTCCCCAGCTTCAGTATTAGATATTTTCCACATGCCAAATGCACTCTAAATACAGATTATCAAAATAGTAATGCTTGATCAGGCAGGACAGGCACAGTATTGAGATGTTCCAAGTGCAGAAATCATAGGAGGAACTTCTGGAAAATTAAAAACAAAGGTCTGGAGATGTGAAAAGTGCCCATAGATGATGTGCAGATAAAAAGCAGAAGAAGTGGGTCTGTGGGCCTGCCTGGTACAATGCAAACCCCAAATTCCAAATCCCTGGGCCTCGGAGGGAGAGAAGATGAGGAGCAGAGGCCTGGCCTGACCCCATTTGTCAAAAGGGAGGTGCCTGGGGCTCTTTCAAATGGCTGCTCTTTTCAAATGGGAGGATTAATTTTCCTGGCAGAAGAATGTTTTGGATTTTTCAGCTGCTGGGAGGAGGGGACCATCGATACCCAGGGAGATTCCCTGGTGGTCTGAGGGGTGTAAATAAATAAGAGACTTCATTGAGTGGTTTGGGGTCTCTGAGGTCTTGCTGGAGCCTTGGCACTGAAAACACTCTGGGAGCTGCTGGATGAGATCATGGATGAGGCAGCAGCAGAGTCCCAGGGGGGTAAGGAAGAGCCCTCAGCTGGTGCACCTTGCAAGAACTCCTCAGCAGGACACAGGCAGGGACACAGCTGGTTTTTCCCCTTCTGTCATGTGCCAGCAGCTTCAATCTCTTTGCATTTTCCCTCTCTTGCAAGAATTTCTCAGCAGGACACAGGCAGGGACACACAGGTGGCTTTTCCCCTCAGTCATTTGACAGCAACTTCAATCCTTTTGCACTTTCCCTCTCTTATGGAAACACCCTTTTCCAGCAGAAAAAATCCCTGGAGTTTAGTGTCTGATCAGTTTACTAAGCAGCCTGAAATGTTATTTATTCTCTCATTTCTACCTTTTTTCTGTAAAATTAGATTAAACTAAACGCAATGATTTTTTTTCACCCCCAGTTATTGATGAACAAGCAAATTGGGTTAAAAAGATATGAAGTGGATGGAAGAAAAGTCCTGTTTTATTTTGATGAGGTAATGGCTTTGTTTCTTATAATTATGTTGGATTTTAATGAAAGGGAAATGAGCAGGGGACGAGGCACAGGCAGGGTGCTGGGGGTCCCTCAGTGGTGAGGATCACCCTGCAGCTGTAAGTGGTTTTTGCTTGAGCTTCTTTTGCTGCTCAGGTTGTGGTTTTGCTTGGAAACCAAAGTACAACAGAGGCAGGTGATTCCCTTCAGCCCATGCAGTGGTTTTGGGTGGATATCACTTAGATTTTTGCCTTGAAATAATCTGAATTTCAGGTCCAACTAGCAGAGCTAAATGCAGAATAATTTAGATCTCACAGCACAGAGCTGAGAAGGTGAGATCTCTCTTGGCTTGGTCAGCAGCAGGAAATAGTCTGGTGGTTGTGGGCAAGGCAGGGTGCACAGCTGGAGTGTTTGCCATGGCTCTGTGGCAAATATGTGTTTTAAAGGTCAGCAAAACATCCTGGTTTGGTTCATCCTGTTTGGTTTTTATTCATTTTCTTTGTCCCTGTACTTGGATTATTGGAGGTATCTTTGTGCTTGGCATTTGGGGCACGTGCTGTGTTCATTTCTCTTCACTTCAGGTGTAGTTTTTGAGTCTTTTACACCATTTCTCACAGATTCCCAGCCAGTGCATGACCTGTGTGAAGTTCCAAGCTTTCAGAGAGCACATAGTTGGGAAAACAGCCCCTGTTCCCATCAAAGTGTACGATTACTACGAGCCAGGTTTGTGCCTGTTTCCCTCTGATCCCTGCTGACTTCAGATCTCCAGGCAGGAGGCTCAGCTGTGATTTCTCCTCCTTGCTGCAGCTTTTGAAGCCACTCGTTTCTACAACGTGAGTGAGAACAGCCCCCTGGCCAGGGAGCTCTGTGATGGCCCAACCTGCAATGAGGTGGAAAGCTCAGCCAGCCAGTGGGTTGGTGAGTTACCCCAAAACCACACAGATCTTTGGGAAAAACAGGACCCACAACGGTTCTGAACTCAAAACTATATTTAGGAAAATGTTATGTTTTGCTCTCTGTGTTAGTGGAAGTTTCACAAAGGTTTGGGGGGCTGCAGTGTTAAAGTCAGGACAAACAGAGCAGTGGGGCTCTTCAGGCTCCAAATGATTGTGATTTGATAAAATGTCTGATTCTGGAAGAACCTGCACATGGGGAGATGTGTCAGTAAACAAAGAGGTAAAAACTCCTCACCATGCAATTTGCTTTTCTTTCTCTCCAATATTTTGCCGTGGAGTTCCACAATTAACTGTAGGAAGATTGAACAATTTCATACATCTGTGAAAAGGAATAACTTGCCCCAGAAGCTGTTGTTCTTTTCTGTGCTCTGTGGCCAAAAACCAGTTGCTTTATCCTAAGTCAGGAAGCTGTTGCACCATGGCTCCTTCAAAAAGGCAACTTTGTTCCCAGAGCTTTTAATTCTCTAAAGTTTGTAAATTCCTCTTAGAAATCTTCAAGAATTCAACGTAAAAACTGATGATCGGTGAACTATTTCCATTCCACCTTCCCTGTGCTGTGCAAACCTGACTGGGATTTGTTTAATCCCCAGGCTTTGTCCACTCTGGCCCTTGCAACAACATCTTTGGCTGCCTGGAGGACGAGTACTTCGAGCAGTGCCTGTGCTCGCGGGACTGCGGCTACGACGGCGAGCCCGTGTGTGGCTCTGATGGCCACATCTACCCCAACCACTGCCAGATGGAGGTGGCATCGTGCAGGAACAACACCAGGATAGAGCAGATGCCCATGTCTCAGTGTGCTGCCTGTAGGTTTCATTTAGTTCCCTTTTCTGTCGTGGTTCAGCTGCAGGATGTTACAAATCCTCATTTGAGCAAGTTAATATTCCATACCTGTGGTAGGGAAAGGAGGATTCTGAACTTGCTCTGTGTTATTTTGCTGTTTATAGTACAGCTGATTAAATGATAAGGGCAGCTGCTTTTCAGCTTGAAATAACTGGTTTTCTGTTCTCATGGATACATGTTTTACCAGTCAGAATGAATTGAAGAGAAAATTAGGGATACTGTTTGATCTGAAGTGAATACTCCTGGATAAAAATTAAATCCATGAAATGTAGCATGTTTTGGAAATTCTGCATGGCCTTTCAAGGTGTGTAATGTATCAGGGAACTGATTACACCACCTCTAGAAATGCAAACCTTTACTAGAGAGGCATTATTAACGAATTACGTGGCAAATGAGTTTATTTTTCTTTTTATTTGCAGCCAAGAACCTGCCAGAAGAAAGGGAGACACACTCCCACACAGCTGAGCAGCCCAGTGTTCCCCAGACTCCAGCAGGTAATGCAATACTTTTGCATTTATCCAAAGGCTTTCTTAAGTAAGGTTAAAGTTTGTCCTAGCTCTGTATTAAGTACAGGTGGCTCTCAAACACATTTTAAGTAAAGATGCTGAATTTCTCCATCTTATAGAAAAGAAAGAATATTCAGAAAACAGATAAAGAGGTCAAGGAAGCTGAGGATGAGAAGTATTCAGTAGCAGACAGCTCTCCAAGTCCTTTTCCCTTCAGGAAATCATGCAGGAATCCTGCCCAGCTCAGCACCTGCAGGATTTAGATAATTGTTTGTAGGAGTGGACAACCCACCCTCCTATTTTCTCAGCCTTGCTGTGTTTGAACAACACACTCTCTGTGATCTTTTCTTCCACTATTAAGCTGGAAAGATCCCATTGAAAGCCAGGCTGATGTAATGTGTTCCAACAAACTACTGAGCAGGACGTGACAAGAGCCCAAACCACTGCAAGGACTCAAATCCAGGTGGATTAACTTTGTCCCTGCAGTTCTGTGCAAAAATGGAGCTGGCAGTCTTGATTCTCTCAGAGCTGCTGTTTGGAATAAAGAGCCTTAGTGAACAAAAATGTTAAGGTCAGTGGATGGAGTAGCCAGGAATTTGGCTGCTCATTTTATTTGGTGCTTATGTTCATGCACTTTTTTTCCAAGACTTGTGTCGAACTCGCTCATGGCTCACAATAAATCTCACCAAGAAGCAGTGGAGGGTCAATAGAATAGCTTGTTTCATGCTGTTTCTAGTAAATAAACTGGTCTAGATTTTTCCTGGCTGCTTTCCACTCATTAATTTTCCCCTGGCCTCCAACTCCCAACAAATTGGTAAAACCAGTTAAATTCTTCAGGAGGAGAATTAAATTCAGGAGCTCTGAGGCTCCTCATGTCCTCCTTGAGCAGCAGGATCAGACTAACACATGTCCAGCAGGAGACACCATCCTGTTCTTTCCCTTCTGGACAGCAGCTGATGGACAGTTTTCTTATTAAGGTGCAAAAACATGGTGAATATTCCATTATGACATTTTCTAATGGTCATTAGTGCTTCATGTCTCTACTACTTTCCTCCCCCCCGCTTTTTTTTCCTGCACTTATTGTGAATATATCTGTATCTAAATCTTGTTGCCTTTTGTTCCATACACATGCCATGTGCTCAGCATGGAAAATTTGCAGTCTGAACCCTTTCAAGCAGCATTCCCAAGCTGTTTTATTTGGGCACTGCTGGAATGTGAGGCCATACCAAGGTCTACAAAAATGGGGCTGCCATTATATAATTTTCAAATAAAAATTTGATATGATTACCCGGGAAAAAAAATGATGGAACTTGATGGTAATCCACAATCCAAAAAAATGTTCAGAACAGTGTTTCTGAAAGAATCTGCATTGAAGTAAAAGGAAAATCCCTCTGTGGTTTCTGTTCTGAATTGACAGAAACAGTGCTGGCTCAGAAGGAGCAAAAGGGGAAAATCTGATTATTTTGTGTGGCATTGTAATGCAGATTTTAGATGGACAAACTTGAGTGCCATAAGGACGTTTGTCAAAGCACAAGCACTTGGAGCTGGCTTTGTCCTAGGATCTGGGAGTGCCCAAATTTCCTGGCAGAAGGATGCTGAGCTGGGAGCAGCCATGGCAGAATGAGCATTCAGGAATCAAACTGACTAAATCCCAGCCCAGGAAAAGGGCCCAGCATGTGATTTTCATTAATCCTCAGGGCTCCTCTCAGGTCAAGCACACGGGACATGAATCAAAGTGCAGCAGATGAATGAGCCCCTCCCAGCCAGGCTCTCCTGGGCTCGCTGCTGCTGGAGCATGTGATGGGGTTAAGTCGGCTCAGGTGCTCCAGCAGGGGCTCTGCTGAGCCGTGCCTAAATCTGGGACTTCCTAAAGGGACGCAAAACTCCAGGAGCCGAATCAAGCTTAGGGCAGGTTGGTGTAAAAGCAAGTGGCTGTGTTAATCTGCAGGAAATGCTGGGTTCTCAGAGAGGCACGTGGTGTTTGTGTTGTCTGGGAGCCTCCTGTGTTTGCCATGAGACTGGTGCAGCTCCGCTTGGGCTGATGGATGCTTTAATTGAGGTCTTGTCAGTGGGGATTGCAGGATGTGTTGGGGCTCCCTCTGGCACACACAGACCCACAGTGAAGTTCCACACACACCAGTGATTTTGCTGGAATAAATTCCAGCTGTTCAAGATGAGTAATTGAACATAGATGGCTCTGAAAGGTCAGGATGCAGCGCTGTTGCTGTTGTCAGAACGTTTTAAAATGCCTTCCCAAAGTCTGCAGAGAGGCAGAATGACTGAGGTTTGACCTTAAAACTTTTTGTGAACAGATGGGTGGGATCCTCTTTGCATCTGTAGATCCTGTGATTGCCAGGGAAGTTTGCAGGGTGACAGAACTCAGCTGAAACAACCCTTATGTGAGTCCCCTTCCTCAGCTGTTCCTTCTCAGGTGAATTACTGAGTCTCAAAAGGGTGGGACAGGATTTTGATGAGTGGTCCCAGCTCTGGGTGTGCTCATGTGCCTTCACAGCCTGCTGCAATATTTGTTTGGATAGAAAACCCTGGAGCAGGAGCTGAGTTAGTGACTGGGATCTCACTGAATTTCTGGCTGTGCCTTTCCTGAGAACTTTGTCACTCCTTGGCCACAAGGGTCTGGGTGGATTTCAGAGCCTGTGGGATCCCCAGTAGCTCTGATAGTCTCTGTGATGAAGTGGTGCCTTGATTGCTTCCACACATCACTAACTCTCTTGTGAAACAGCCTAAATCTCCTCTGCCAAAGGCACTCAAGCACAGCCACTGATGTTGGAGGACAACATGTTGCCATCACAGTGCTGTGATTCTGCATGGATTTGGTGGACAGCAACCTCCAAGTGTGTGGGGCAGCAGTGCTGGGATATCAGTGCTGCTGTGAGCCCCCCCAGGCTGAGCTCTCTGTCCCCTGCCTCTCCCCACAGCCATGCCCTTTGCACAGTTTTGCTCCAGCAATCAGAAAGGGCCAATGGCTGGAACTGGAAGAAAGCTCTAGGTGGAATTATGACACTTTGGTAGTGGTATTTTGTTTGGGGTTTGGGGTTTTTTTGATTAAATGCCTAACCTTAACCCACACCAGCTCCCATCAGGACCATCAGCCTGAGCTCTGCTTCCAGGTGGAGTCATCCCCAAAATTCCCTGGCTGGCTGGCTGCAGCTCTTTCAGGGTTGATTGAGCTGGCACAGGGCTGGTTTTCCTCTCCCCCCATCACTGCTCAGCAAACATTTGCCTCAGCACAAACATTTGGGGCTGGGGGAGTGGTTTGTGTGCAGCAGGAAACGTCGGCCTGTGCTCTTTGCTTGGGCTCCAGGGCTGAATTCCTGGGAAGAGTCAGGCCTGTGATGTTCATCCCAGCCCTGGTGGACAGCAATCACCCATTCATAGAAGGAGCTCATGGTCTGGCAGGTTCTCTCAGGGAGGAGGCCAAGAAGGAGGGAACAGAGCCTGACTCCCCTGCCCAGCGCTGGGAGGATGTGGGAGGCAACAGGGAAGATCCTTCAGATATTTTATTTCTAGAGAACAAACATTTTCAAAGACCTTGATGAGTGTTCTCTTTAAATAAAGCCAGCTTTGGGCGGGCAGGGGACTTTTCCTCCCTGCAATAATTCTGCCTCAGTGCTAGCTTTGGTTTGGACTGGGGCAGTGTACACAGAGAGCAAACAGGAAGGATGGACAGCTGGGCTGGCTCGAGGAGCAGTTTAGGAAACACGGATCTGCTGCTGTTCCTAGAAGTTTTATCTTGCAGTTTTGCCCTCTGGACAGGGAGCACAGAGGCACAGCCTGGTGTGAGTGGGGTGTCTGCTGTGACAGGGACCTGCCAGTGTCAGCACAGACTGCAGGGAGTGGGAAGAGGAGAAATTCCTGTTCCTGCCTCTGCTGGGCCTGTCCCTACACAAAGTGATGGAAATTTCAGTGCTGGGGCAGAGGTACCTCAGCTCCTCGTTCAGGCTGGAGTCCATGGCTTTCCTGTGGGTTCCTGGCCTCAAAACTTTCACAGTTGTTGGGCTGAAAAAAAAGTTGGCTGCCTCCACTGATCAGTCACCAAGTGAGCTGTTCCCTCAGGGTGTCCCTCCAGCTTTGTCACTTGTTTTATGGAATGATGCACAGCTGAGGGCACACAGGACATGTCCCCATACAGATGGGGCTCTCCTTGCCTGAGGTGCCTCGTCAGAGGAGAGATTTTCAGGGTGCTGAGTGAATCCCCTGTGCCACCTGCCCCCTTCTTTTACCTTGCTGTGTGCAGCCCTCAGGCTGATGGGTTTGAACTTCAGCACCTCAGTTAATTCCATGCTGGAAAAGGAGACTTGGAGATTTTTTTCAAACTACATTGCCCTTTGCCTCCCTTTATTTCCCTTTCCCCCTTGTTTCTCCTTCTTTCTCCCCTTGTTTCTCCTTCTTTCTCCCCTTGTTTCTCCTTCTTTCTCCCTTGTTTCTTCTTCTTTCCCTCCTTGTTTCTTCTTCTGTCCTCCCTTTTTTCTTCTTCTTTCCCACCTTGTTTTCTCATTTCCCCTCCTTGCTTCCTCCTTTTCCTACCCTTATTTGCCTTTCCCCTTTGTTTTCCCTTTTCCTCCTTATTTCCCCTTTACCCCTCTCTTTGTTCCCCCTTTTTCCTTTCATTTTATTCCAGTTTCTCAGACTGGGAAAATGAAAACTCCTTTTGCAGCAGCTCCTCCCTTTCCCTGTGAACCCCACCAAACACGTGCAGGTGTGCTGACACCTGCAGCCCCCTTCCCTGGTGTCCCTGACTAAAACCCCTTCCTGCTGCTGCCCTGCCCTGCTGCGTGGCCACGCAGCTCCTGCAGCTCTGCTTCCCCCAGCAGCTGAGGAGGGGCCCCCCCTGCACACAGACCTGTCCTACTACTCCTACGAGTACGACCCCGACGCCTTCGCCGTGGAGGGCGACGTGTTCGAGGTGGTGGCAGAGCTGAGCACGGCCAGCACCTTCAGGGAAGGGGACAGCAGCCAGGCTGAGGCCACCCCAGCAGAATGGTGAGTCCACAGCGGGGCAGGGGGCTGCTCTGAGCCGGCCTGTGGTGTCCTTGTGCTGGGCAGTTCCCCAAAAAGGGGGTCAGTGGGAAGGGGGGCTTGCTGGGGCAGCTGTAAAAGGCTGTGGGAGCTCAGTGGTTTCATGCCCAGGGGAATGGAGTGATCTGTCACTTGGGGTGTTCAGCTGGAGCAGAGGGGAGGCTGATCAGTCTCATGGTGGGGGGAGGAGGAATGGACACAGATCTTGCTATGGGGTGACAGGGCCAGGAGCCCACAAAGGGCTGGAGCTGTGCCAGGGCTTGGCATGGAGCTCAGGGCAAGGCTCTTGCCCCCGAGGGTGCTGGCACTGCCCAGGCTGCCCAGGGAATGGTCCCGGCCCCAAGGCTGCCAGAGCTCCAGGAGCGTTTGGACAGCGCTGCCAGGGCTGCTCAGGGTGGGGCTGTTGGGGTGGCTGTGCAGGGACAGGGGCTGGATTTGATCCCTGAGGGTCCTTCCCAGCTCTGTGATCTTTTCAGCTTTTCCCAGGCTCAGTGATATCTCACAAAGATGCACCACAGCAAGGTGACTTTTCTTCCTTGTGTTCTCTTTCCCACAGAAATACATAATTTAAATAAAGAGAAGAGGCTCAGAATCAACTCCTGTATGAGTTTGCTCCTCCAGACGACCTGCTGCAGAACAGAATCTGAATGATGACTACTTCCTGATGCCCTCAGAACTGTAGGCTTTGCTGCCCCACGGGGCAGATCTGGAGCTCTAAGGGGGACACTCAGCGTTATTTTTCTGTCCATTTTCCTGCCTTCTTGTGCATCCTCTTTGGAGCCCTCCCAGTGATGAGAGACCAATGTGCTGTGCCCTCTAGGTGAGAAAAAATAGGGGCTGGAATTCAAACCTATAGAGCATTACCAAGTGTTTTCTCTGCTATCAGGATATTCTGCAAATGCCATTTCCTAGCTACACTTAGAAGCTAAGTCCAGGCCTTGTGCTTAGCTGAACTGCTGTTTGAGGAAAGATGGCTGAGAAGTTTTTTGCTCAAATTATAATAATAAAAACCAGTGTGTTTTGCCAATTATGACATAGCAAGAGGCTGCTCATCTTCCTCAGCCCATCAGTCTACACCCACGAGAAAAACACTTCCCTGTGGCTCCACAATTCAGGGAAGCTCTTGGGATGTACATTTTACCTGAGAAAACTGAAATCCACTGCCAGGGCTGAAAAGCTTCATGTCTGCTGCTGTTTGCAGCCTCAGCAGAAGCAGGGATGAGGTGGGGGAGCCCTCTCTTTGTGTTGCACTATGTGCTGACAGGGGCTGCTTGCAGCCTTCTCAGCCCCTTTCTCCTCAAAGCCTGGCCTGAAAATGAACCTGGCCCAGGCACAGCCCTTTTAAATGTTTGCCTGATTCCACCAACCCCTTTTATTTTGCTCCCACTGGCACCCAGCACAGCATGTTCTGGTCCTGGTACTCCCTGGCCAGGCCTGGCTCTGCTGGCCAGTACCAATCCCTGGTGTCACAGGCTGGACTCCCTCGGTCTGACCTGCCCCAAGCAACGTGGCAAAACTTAAAAAGAAAAGCTTTGTGTTTCCAAAAGTGCAGGAGCCAAGATTTTTGAGTTTCCCTTCCTGCCTGGAGCAGCATTGTTCTCTTTGGAGGAGTTACATGCAATTGCCTCTTGCAAAATAGTGTTAATATTTTATCTTCCCACTTCTATTGTTACCAGGACCCAGAGCAGGGTGGAAACTCCTTTTGAGGGTGTTTATTGGTGAATGGAAACAGAAAAAAAAAATCCCAGCTCCATTCATTTTTAAGGCTTGTTTACACAGGAACCATGACAAGAATATATCCCAGTATAGACATTCCATTCCAGAATAAAGGCAAGTTTATTCCAGAAAAATGTCCACATGGGGACAACCAGGAGGTATCCCAGAGGTTGGGCATGTGTAGTTTCCAGTCCTTTTTGTCTGGGGCCAGACATTTGCAGAATGCAGTTGACATGATGAAGGTCTGGGTCTTGAAGTTCCCAGAAATTTCTGAGCTGCCTCAGAAGCTGGCAGCTGTGCCAGCCTCCCCTCGTGGCTGCTCCCAGGATCCTGCTGGGATGAGGGTCCTGCCCCACATCTGGGGTGTGCAGGGGCAGATCCTGCCCTCACCCTGGCAGCTGCATTCCTGCCTGGCAGGTAAATAAATGCCTTTAAACTAAATTCCACCTCCTGCAAGCAACTGTCCTGGCAGGCACTGGCTATTGTGTACACACACAGGACTGAGTCAATATTTATCCCTGGGTAAATAACAGGCCTAGTGTGAGCTACAAGATTCCTTTTTTCTTTTTTTTTTCCCTTTTCTAAAACTCAAAACTGCACAATACAAACCCTGCTGTTTGCTGGTTCAGGCTGCAGCTGTTTGGTGCTGTGAGTTGGGAGGTTGAGGCATTTGGTCACCCTGGTGATGTCTGGGACTGCCTTCATCCAGGAGATGGGACCTGTGTTCTGAAGTCCTCTGTCCCTTTCTGGTTTTCCTCTCCTGCTCTCTCTCACCCATTTTACACCCAGTGAATGCTTCTGGAGAGATATTTGAAGTAATTTTAAATTGCTTGGTCCTCTCACAGATCCTTGGGCACTCAGACCTCCCTCTGTGGATGAGGAGGTGAGGGTGGGGACTTCCAGCCAAGAATTAAACCTGGCTTTCTTCACTTTCCTCAGGCTGTGGGAGATGTAATGTCCTAATTCCAGCTGCAGACATCCCCCTGGTGCTGCCAGGTAAATAATTCCTGCTGGTGGTGCCAGCCCATCAATCAGGGCCTTGTCTGAGGGATCTCTGTGCCAGTGCTTGAGGCAGAGGAGTCTGGCTTCTGTTTTACAATTCAAAGGAAAGTCAGAGAGCCCTGCACCCTCAGAAGGCAAAGGCAGAGCAGCCTCCCTGTCCTCAGAGCCAGACAGAGCAGGGCAGTGTGTGGGAGGGGATGTGACAGGATCTCTGGATCCTGACTTCACCCCCAGCCTTGGCACTCCCAGTTCCTCTGCTCTTGGCAGCCTCTGCCTCCCCCGCTCTTGCTACACCAAACCAGCTCCTCTTTGTGGCTAAAAAGGTGATTTTATGTAAGGAAATGAATCAAAGAACCTGCAGTTCCACCACTGTAGTTGCCTTTTCCCCCTATCACAAGAATAAAGGTCTCTGCTCTCTCCACCCCAGCTGAGGGTCCAGAGCTTTCCCCTGTCCCACATTTGCAGCTCATGTTTGTTGTCACCATCATCCATTCTTATCTAGGGGAAAAAAAATCATAGATTATTTTTCCTCCATTGTTCAACACCCTGCTTGGAATACAAAAACTGGATCCCTGAGCACCACTGGACACAGCTGAACAGACCCAAAGCCACTCACAGGCTTAGGCCCAGCTCTGCTCACTCTCCCTCCTGTCCCTGAGAGCACAAGGACACCTCAGGCTCCCATTTTGTGCACCTCAGCCACGCAGTTTAGAGAGAAGGATTGTTTTTTTGTTTTTGTTTTTTTTTTTTCACCAAGTAAAAGACCAGCTGGGTGCTGGAAAGCCAAAGCCAGCAAGGCCAGCAGCTGCTGCTGCTGCTTTGGGTTGTTTCTGGCTTAGAAACATTTGCCTCCCTCTGTCAGAGAGATGTTTCTCCTTTCCTTTCCCTGATGGTCCTTCTCTGCAAAAGGATAAAAGTGCCAGTGGGTTTGTAAGACACAGAAATTGCTTCTTCCATCGAGTTCTGTGACTGAATAGCTGCAGCAGTGCTAGTTATCAGTGATTGATGCTTGCAATCCTTTCGAGGAAATTAATATTTATATATTTGTAACTGTACATTATGCAGAGTAATCATTACCATGGTATTTATTTTAAAGCAATAGTTCCCCTTGTTCTTTCTTGTCCTGTGTTTTGGTCTTGCCTCTTCCCCTCCTTCTTAATCAGCCTCAGTAGAAAGCAAATACCAGAAGAATGTTCAGCTTGCTTGAAGAACATCCCCAACACACCAGCACTTGCTTTGCTCACACTGACTGTTGACATTTAATCCACAATAACCTGGTTTTCATTATTGTGAATAGAGAAACTCTTTAGAAAACCTCTACCAGCCTGGCTTTGGGTTTGGGGTTTTTTTAGTCCCTGCTGTTTCTGACTGAGTGCCCAGCACCCAGAGCCCAGCTTTGTGTTTCCCCGGCCTTTTGCCCCCACAGGTACACACAAACAGCTCTCTGACCAGCTGTTGGTTTGTTCACACACATCTTAGCAAGTCTGAGTCCAGAAAAGTGTTTGTTTTAGATTCTGATAAATATTTTATTAAAAACTGATTTTAAGACAATCCTCTCTGCTTCTTATTCACGCTTTATGTTGTGCTGGGAAAACTAAAGAATTAAGCAGCTCTAAAGAGGTTTATTGCTCATTTTCTACCTGACTGCTCACAGGGCTGTGCCCCAGTTGTGTCTGAGAGATGAGCAGGCTGCATTTTGTCAGATTTGCAGCAGGTTCCAACAAACAAAAAACCTGAGCACCTCTTTGATCAGAGCCAGCTTTTGGCTGTGGGTGACATTACACAAAGGAAATGTGGAGTACCAGAGGCTTTGCTCCATTCCTACTTTACTATCTCCCTTCATGAGACATCATTTTTTTACAAAATCCATTAATACAACCTTTGCCTCAAAGAAATGATGGATGCCAAGGGTGATTTGCAAAAACAGGGATGAGTGAAGGGGATTTTTACACCTTTTACCAACAGTGGGCTAACATTTCTGAGGGGTTACTGACAAATCAAGCCAAGAATGTTTTTGCTACACAAAGCCAGTACTCTGCACTCTTTTGACAGACTGGTTTAGTTCAGGAGAGTAGCTTTTGAAACATTTAGAAATTTGGTTTTGCAATGATGGTTCTTTTTTTTTGTTTTAGGGGAAGGGAATATGCATTTAAGGACAGAGAGCAAGGACTAGCAGGCAGAGAGCAGCCAGGTTAGGAACAGCAGACCCAGCTGTATGGGGAGGAACATCCCTGGTGGTGTGGGACCAGCTGAGAAGCTGCAGGCAGTGTCCCAGTAAAGGATGGATGTGTCCCGCACTCAGCATCTTGTCTGGGCAAAGAATCCCACAGCCTGGCTTTATTCATCCTTATCTGTGCAGACAGGGAAAGCACTTGGCTCCTGGGAAAAGCTGTTCTGGGTGAAACTTGTGGAATTCCAGTGCCGAATTCCTCTTATCCCCACTGTGTGCATAATGAGAGCCCTGGGAGCAGGGACCCAGGCTGGAGGCTCACACCAGCGAATGCTTGGACCGGGGCAGCGTTTCCTTGGAGGTCTTCAGGGAAGTGGTGGTTTTTTTGCTGCCACTGAAGACTCTCCTCCTCACCTTCTCCCGGAAATCCTCCGACACGTAGTAGTAGACGAAAGGATCGGCGCAGCTGTTGAAGGTGCTGAGGGCCAGGCTGACCATGTAGCTGAGGTACAGCCGGCCGTGCAGCTTGGAGCAGGGGCTGGAGTAGTGAAGCAGCAGCAGGACGTTGCTGGGGGCATAGAAAACCACGAGGGTGACGACCACGAGGGCCGTGAGCTTGGCGGCGTGGCCGTAGCGGCCGCCCCCGCGCAGGAGGACGCGCAGCACCGCGCCCGAGCTCAGCGCCAGCAGCAGCAGCGGCAGCAGGAAGGCGCAGGCCACCAGCACCACGAAGTAATAAAAGTAGAAACCATCGTCCTCGTGCCGGGGCAGGACGTCATGGCACAGCGTGAGGCCTGCCCCGAGCAGGGGGTAGGACTGCTGCTGCAGCGTCAGGGGCAGCGTCAGGGCAGCAGAGCACAGCCAGACCCCAGCACAGGTGCCCATGGCCAAGGCGGGAGTGCGGAAGGTGCGGGAGGAGAAGGGGTGAGCCACGGCCAGGTAGCGATCCACGCTGATGCACGTGAGCAGCAGCACGGAGCAGTGCATGTTGCCGTAGAAGAGGGCCGTGGTGAGGCGGCACAGCCCTTCCCCGAAGGGCCAGTGGTTGCCCAGGAAATAGTAGGAGATCTTGAAGGGCAGCACGGAGACCAGCAGCAGGTCGGCGGCGGCCAGGTTCATCAGGAACACGGTGGAGGCCAGGCGCTCGGTCCTGGTGGCCAGCACCCACAGGGCCAGCGCGTTGGCCGGCAGCCCCAGCAGGAACACCAGGCTGTAGAGGCACGGGATGAGCCTGACGGTGATGGCACTGCCCAGCTGGGCACGGGTGGCCTCGGGGATCAGCAGGTAGGTGACGTTGTTGACCGTGGCCTGGTCGCCCGGGATGGCCCGGGGACACGGGGTGACCTCTGGTGTGCTGGCCTGCTCGCTGGTGCTGTTCTGAGAGTAATCTGGGAGGGGAAGGCAGCCTGTTACTCGCTCAGCCTGTCCCCAGTCAGCCTGTCCCCATTCAGCCTGTGCTCACTCAGCCTGTCCTCACTCAGCCTGTCCTCACTCAGCCTGTCCCTCACTCAGCCTGTCCTCACTCAGCCTGTCCCTCACTCAGCCTGTCCCTCACTCAGCCTGTCCTCACTCACCCTGCTCCTCACTCACCCTGTCCTCACTCAGCCTGTCCCTCAGTCTGTCCTCATTCAGCCTGTCCCTCAGTCTGTCCTCACTCAGTCTGCTCCTCATTCAGCCTGTCCTCACTCAGTCTGCTCCTCACTCCCCCTGTCCTCACTCAGCCTGTCCCTCAGTCTGTCCTCATTCAGCCTGTCCCTCAGTCTGTCCTCACTCACCCTGTCCTCACTCACCCTGTCCCTCACTCACCCTGTCCCTCACTCACCCTGTCCCTCACTCAGCCTGTCCCTCACTCAGCCTGTCCTCACTCAGCCTGTCCCTCACTCAGCCTGTCCTCACTCAGCCTGTCCTCACTCAGCTGGAGGCTCTGTGGAAGCTGTGCCTCACCCCAAAGGCTGCTCTTTGTCTTTTCTGTTGGGGTCCCTACAACTGGGAATGTTCTGGAAAGGCTGTTGAGTGACGGGCAGGAAAAGCTGGCTGGCAGAGTTTGGTGTGCAGGAGCCACCCTCAGCCACCTTTCTGGGAACATCCCTGATTCCTTTCCCACAGCTCACAATGGACTGTAATGCTCTACAGCCATGAACAGGCCTGGGCATCCAGAGAGAAATTCCCATGTACAGCCATGAACAGGCCTGGGAAGCCAGAGAGAAATTCCCGTGTACAGCCATGAACAGGCCTGGGAATCCAGAGAGAAATTCCTCTCTACAGCCATGAACAGGCCTGGGAATCCAGAGAGAAATTCCCATGTATAGCCATGAACAGGCCTGGGAAGCCAGAGAACAATTCCTCTGCTGGGCTTTCACAACAATCCAAAGTTCTGGAGCCACTCCAGTGTAAAGTTGTGGCTCTGGGTGTATAAGTAGCTAAAGATTTAGCTTTTGAGTCCTTTCTTGCTTACTGCTCCTTTATTTTTCCTTTGTATTTCTAGTTTCTTCCACCCCAGCTTCTTTTTCTTCTCTATCTCCTCTGTCAACCTCCTGCTTCAACAAGAGCCCACACAAAGCTCTATCAGAGCATCCTCCCATGTGAACCCATTAAAAAATGAGCTTTCAGGGATTTTACAGAGACCCAAGCACCCAGCACTTTACCAAGCAGCAGCTTTGCCCCCAAAGCAGACACTCACCATCGTAGTCCGAGGCCAGGCAGAGTCCCCAGAGGGCACAGCAGAGCAGGAGCTGCCTGTTCCCAAGGATGCCCATGGCAGTGCAGGGTCTGTGCACAGAGCCAGAGCTGTGTGGGAGCAGCAGCAGCAGCAGGGACCCTGCTGACGCATTTCCTCCTGCTGCTCCTTAACCCTCGGAAGGAACGGGGCAGATCCGGGCGGGATGGGGGGATGGAGGGGCTGGCACCACAGGAGCCCAGGCTGGACACCCCCAGCACCAGTCTGGGACGGGGAGGGGCTTATTCAGCCAGACACCAAGTATTTTAGGGCTGCACTTCATCCTCAGTGTGAGAGGGTGGCTCAAGTGACTCATCTGGGTCTCCTTCCTGCTCTGGAATATTCCTGGAAATAGCAAATGTGATGGGGTTTGATGCAGGCTGCACACAAACAGAACTCACGCACCTCAGCCCATGGAAATGCTGAGCATCCTCCCACGACAGAGACCTGAGTGGCTCTGTGGGTGAGCTGAGGTCTTTTCCTGAAGCCTGAGTCACAACATTTGCTGATACTACAAACAGGGAGATATCCCAGACACCAGAGCTGCAGATCCCACAGGTCTCCCAGTGATTCCAGGGGGCTCCTGCAGACTCGTGTTCTGGCAGAGGAAGGGTTTTAGTGTCAGCCTTGCAGCCTCCAGGTCAGGCTGGGCCCTTCAGAGTTCCCTTTCATTCCTTTTTATTCCTGCTCCTGCTTCCTGGCTAAACAGCACCAAGCTCCTGCACCTTTTACTGCAGAGGATGGTTAAAAGTCCTCTGGGTTGGAGCTCTTTGCACTGCAAAGCAGCAGCAGGAGCACCATGACACACCAAGGGTGGGTGGCAGAGAGGGGAGATGTTTTGCTTCCTCTGATAAAGACTGGGACAGGGAGAGCAGCAGGAAAGGAAAGGGGCCTGCAAAGGGCACGCAGGAAATCCCTGCTGGTGGGGAGATAATGGGGAGCTCCAGCCACTCCTGCCCCACAAAATGCTGCTTTTTCCCAGAGCTGAGCTATCCCACCCTGCACAATCCCTACTCTGAACCCAGAGCAGCACAAGGAGCTGCTGGTTGTGCCCAGACAACTCAGATGATGCTGTAACAGGGACTGGCAGAGCTTAAATGAGCCTTAAGATCCTTTGCTGCCAGGTCCCCTCTGCTCTAACCCCCAGAGCAAGTCCCTTCTGTGCTCTGCTCTGGAAAGCTCCTAAATCCTCTCCCATCTCCTGTTCAGAGCCCCAGTGTGGCCCTGGCCATGTGCACTGCCCAGTGGGACAGGAGGTCATGGCTGGGAGGGTGCTGAGCTTTGGGCTCTTCTCTGCAGTCCTTGCCTGGCTCTGCAGGGAAGGAAGGAAGGACAGGAGCTGGAGCCCAGGCAGTAGGAACTGTAAATTTGGTTTGGCAACCTGAGGAGCAGCTCGTTTCTTTCTCCTCGCCTCATGAATGGCCTCTTCTGTGAAGGTTGCAAATCTGAGCCTGGCTGCTGTTTGATGAGATTCTTCTATTCCAAGGAGAAAATGATCCTATTTCCTCTGCTTTCACCATATTCCCACATCCTTGTGCCGAGCGTGTCAAGAGGTGGAGTTCCACTGGCAGGGAGAGGGAAGATGCAATGTTAGATGTTTTGCTTTTGTGATTCTCTCAGGATTTATGAACCATTGCAGAATGACTCATGTGGCCACATATTTTCCATGCCTCAGCCAGGATCCTTTCCATGCTCTGTATGCAAAAAATTAGCCATAATCAGGTTCAGATAGTGTGCAAATCACAGCCCTGCTTCCTATGGGCAGGTCTCTGGAGTGGAGCAGAGAGAGGTTACTCATCGCTGCATCCTTCATTTTTCAGATGCTGTGTGATCTTTAGTGACTGCCTTAGATGCAGAACAGCTTGCCTGAAAATTCTAATGCCAGAGGTTTGTCACGGCTTGTTAACATCTCTTTAAGTCGTGTGATCCCTGCCCTGTGGGGTAACAATTTGGTTTTAAAGTAATTCATTGTGCAATAGATCATCTCCTGGGAGCAGGGGCTCTTCCATTCCGTGGCTCTGAACCCAAAAGATGTAATGCTGGAAATCAGGCTGGGGATTTCGGAGCTCAGGGGGAGGGTACAAACACCACCTGGCCTGTCCCATACATCTTGGAGGCTTGGATGAGCAAACTGTGGTGGGTAAAGGATGGGATTCACTGTGGCTGCTCTGTTCCACCACCTCCAGGGGGTTCCTGAGCAGCAGCTCAGAGCTGGCTCTGCAGGCTCTGCATGTTCAAGGTGCCCTCAAATTTCTGTCAGAGGTCCCCTCTTTGTCCCTGGGCCAGCCTGAGACTCTGCTTGGCTCCAGGGAATGCCCTCCTCTCCTCCTGCTCTCCTGTTCCTCTGGGATCCCACCCTGGGTGACCCCAGACATTCTCCTCAGCCTCACCCTGCCGAGGGAGGTTTTTCAGAGCTGCTCTTCTACTTGCTGGCACTTTTCACCTAACACCATAAAATCCACATGAAGGCATTTTCCAGGAAGCCTTTTAGCTTATTAACACCCCTACAACCCCTACAACTCAGTGTTCTGGAATAGCTTTTTGGGGGCCTTTCCCAGCAAGATAGTGACAGTGGGGTGGGGGTTACCTGGTCTGACACAGCATCATCATCATCATCATCATCATCATCATCATTCCCTTTGGATCAGGACCCTTTGGATTCATTCTTTAGCACAGGTTAAGAGTTGCTAGACTTTAATTTAGTCTGTAAATTGAATTAGTTAGTTCTAATCCAGAGGAATTGCTAAAACATGAAGAAAACCTCAATTAGTGTTTGCACACAGTTCTAGACTCTCTCACTGGCTCACAGGCCTGACCCTTCCAGTGCATCCCTCAGATGAGGAAACACATAAAAAACATCCTGGAATGTTAAATGCTGACCTCAGGTACTCCCTTTAGCAACTCTGAGTTTAATTGTGCAAACCATTCATACCTACTCCATCCTGCAACCCTGAAGGATGTTTTAAAGCTGTTTGCTGTTGTCCACTCCCTGAGATCTCCAAGTGCTCTCATGTCACATCTGGCTGTCCCTCCCCTCAGTGCAGGGAACATCCCCGTTGTGAGAGGGCCAAGAGAAGACTTGTGCAGAGTGGGCTGTGTCCTCTGAGACCCCAGCACCACCATTTTAATCCAATTACTCTGTGCAATCGAGGCACCAGAGGATTGTTATGGGGAGAAGAACAGTTTGTTTCCCTGTGAGCAAGCAGGGGGCTGCCCAGAGAGCAGAGCTGCCTTTTGTTATGGCAACGGAAGTGTTGGGGATGATGTAAAGGAAACTCCTATCAGCTCTGGGTCACATCACCACGGCTTCATTTGCAAAATCCACTCATTCATTTGTCGTGCAGAGCTCACAGGGAGCACAGTTCAACATGTTATTAGCCAGGAATTTGGGGAGGCTGGGGGAAAGGCGGGTGGAGGGTTATTTTCATGGTTGCAGTTGTGTTGTCTTAACCTGTAGCAGATGTGCTTGTGGGGTTGGGAACTGGAATCAGCCCCTTCTCTTGAGCCCTGCTTGTGTTCAGGGAGGGATTCCTGGGGCCTGTGCCCCACCTCTGGCATGGGTGCTGCTAGGGTGCAAGGAGTCACTGCCTCCAGGACACAACTCCAGGGCTGGAGGATCCCACAGGGACCAAACCCAGCCCCTGGCCCTGCATCTTTGTGAGACAGCGCTGAGCCTGGGCAGGGAAAAGCTGAAGCAGAGCTGGGAAGGACCCTCAGGGACCAAATCCAGCCCCTGTCCCTGCACAGCCATCCCAAGAGCCCCACCCTGAGCATCCCTGAGAGCTCCTGGAGCTCTGGCAGCCTTGGGAGCATTCCCTGGGCAGTGCCAGCACCCTCGGGGGCAAGAACCTTGCCCTGAGCTCCATGCCAAGCCCTGGCACAGCTCCAGCCCTTCCTATGCTTGCTTTTGAGACCTCTCTGGTGGAGCAGCTGTGCCACCCCCTGGGCTCCCTGCTGCAGGAGGGGTTTGGGCAGCTCCCACGTGAGTGCAGCCTCTTGCTTTTCTCTGCTTGCAGGAAATGTATTTCCCTTTTCCATCAGCGAGTGCACTGCTCACGCCCTCACACAGCACTTGCTGATACACAGCTGCACCAGCACACCCTGCAGCCTGTCCAGGAACTTCAACCCTTCCATTTTTCTCCCATTTAAAATCCAGTTTCAGGTAAAAGACAGTCAATTCTGGGGGTCATCACAAAGTTTAAATTAGTTGGAAAGAAACGTAAAACAGTGAGAGCTGCAGACTTTTAAAATCAATATTTTATTTTACTTGAATGTGCAAATAAATATAAAAAAAACTACATTCAAGGAGCTGGCAAAAGCAATTACAAGCCCAAAAGCAAAGATCCTTCAAACAAATGGAAGAACAAACTCTTGACTCAAGGTCGTGCAGATACACAGCTGAAACCCTCAGACATGAACAAGCCCCTCTCAAACCTGCCTGATAATCCCTTCACATCCCTTGCTACTCTCATCTTTGAGACAATAGCACTGTAAAGGGCAAAAGTCTTGCTTAATCAGTTCAGATTATAAATTAAGGTTTACAAAATAAGGATGCTTAAAAATACCTGAAGTACACTTAGAATGGGTGATGGAACAGGACGGTGCCCAGGTGTGTTGCCCACCTTGGGACACCTGGAATCAAATGCATTTTAAGCCACAAGTTGCCACCTATTCTCTAGTAAACAGTTTTCTGTATCATAAAACCATAAAATTTGGCACAATTGTCATCTCCACTGGGAGACAGCAGAGAGGTGAGCAGGACTGAGGTGTGTTTTGGTGAGCTGGCTGGAAAGGAAAGGGGGACACTGTGCTTGGCACTGGGTTGTCCCCCTGCTCCCCCCAGCCCTTGCAGAGCCTCGTGGTCTATTATCACTGCAATGAGGGCAGGGGAAGAACCTTCAGATCATTTCAGGAACCAAAGTTTAGCAGAGACCCAGCCCAGGAGGGCACGGGCTCTTGATGAAAAGTCTCTGCTGGCAGTGGTTGTGCAAGTGGCCACGAATGCCAGAGAGTGGCCTCCCTCCTTCCCTCCCACAGATTATTTTGCAAAAAAGACAAAGACTTGGGACAGTTTTCTATTAAACATACCCCAAAGGCCAATTTTTCTACTGTCAAGTGAGACAATTGCGAAACCAAATGTCGTACAGTGGAAATAACCCAGGACAAATCCTACAGGCTGCTCCTCAGGTCTGGCAGAAATCATAACCTAAAAATCAAAGCCACAGAAAGTTTCAGGGTGGGGGGGGGTTATTGCCCCAAAAGCCAGGGAAAATTGGGAAGCAAAGCTGAAAGGAGGCTGGGTATGCCTCAAAAATGTTAAT